ACTAACCCCATTTAATGTCACTGCTGCTTTGTTTCACTGAAATTATATTAGTTTTGGCTATCCTGTTAGTCTGTCCTGTTAGCCTATCCTGTTAGCCAATCCTGTTAGCCAATCCTGTTAGCCGTACTTGTGGTGGGTAAACTTTTTAAGTCAGAGAGCCCAAATCCTCACATTTTTTTTCAACAGTTTCTCACGTGTCAACCGAAATTTTGGGGAACATATTAATATTTCGTGTCTTTTAAATATTGTGAAAACCTTTTCAAATAATTAAAAATTACTATAGAGTGGTAAAATTAAAGACTATTCTAAGATAAATTATTTTAAGTCATGTACAAGAAAGAATAAATTTAAGTGACGGGATTTTTACTGAAAGGTAATCTACACTGATGATAGTGTGGATATTATTTATTATCTTTCAAGTGTAATTCTCACTGACATATACGACCACACACTTTAAAGCTGCAGTTTTGAACATCAGCAAAAGAATAAACAATAATTCTGACTTTTTAGTTGTTATTTATATCAGATCACTCAGCCATAAGTTTTACAAGTTTTCCCAATACATTACAGTGAACAATCACAACATTTTGATTTAGTTAAAGCACAATGAAAGAAAAGAAAATTAAAGATATTGTTGCATTAGTTCTTAATTCCTTATGAGTAATACATTTAGTGTCTCAGATATCCACCAAACAAGGGTTAATTAAGTCAGCCCTCATTCTTTGAACTGACAGACAGACATTCCGTCTTTATATATAATATATATATATATATATATATATATATATATATATATATATATATATATATATATATATAATATATATATATATATATGTCGTACCTAGTAGCCAGAACGCACTTCTCAGCCTACTATCCAAGGCCCGATTTGCCTAATAAGCCAAGTTTTTATGAATTACTTGTTTTTCGACTACCTAACCTAACTTTTTCGGCTACCTAACCTAATCTAACCTATAAAGATAGGTTAGGTTAGGTAGGGTTGGTTAGGTTCGGTCATATATCTACGTTAATTTTAACTCCAATTAAAAAAAACTGACCTCATAATGAAATGGGTAGCTTTATCATTTCATAAGAAAAAAATTAGAGAAAATATATTAATTCAGGAAAACTTGGCTTATTAGACAAATCTGGCCTTGCATAGCAGGCCGAGTACGACGTTCTGGCAACTAGGTACAACATATATATATATATATATATATATATATATATATATATATATATATATATATATATATATATATATATATATATATATATATATATTAGTATATTTTGGTAGCAGTCTTTCCTGTAGACATATATTATTAAATATGACCGAAAAAGTAAGATTAATAATTCTAACACGAATTTTCTCAATCTTTCGTACATTACGCTTCACTGTTGGAGGTAAATCAAAAATCAATTCTCCAAAATTCATTTTTATTTCTAGTCTGACGCGACACGGGCGCGTTTCGTAAAATTTATTACATTTTCAAAGACTTTAGTTTACAAATACACAACTGAATAGAACTGATTGATTGATGAAGATTAAGCCACCCAAGAGGTGGCACGGGCATGAATAGCCCGTAAGTGGTGGCCCTTTCGAGCCATTACCAGTATCAAAAGATGATACTGGAGATCTGTGGAGGCGCAACTGCACCCTGCGTGACGGGAGATGTCTCCCGGACCAAGTGGTGACCAAATGGTGTGTGAATAGAACTTACGTATCTCCGTTTTTATATCTACATTTGAGTGAGGTGGAAGGGGTGATGTGGCATTAACACAAGACAGAACAAAATGTGGTATTAATAGGGTATTAATTTCATCAACACAAGACAGAACAAGAGTATTAATAGGTTAATAACGGCTTCTCCAATGGTTTCGTCGAAGACATCATAAGAAGGAAAGTGAAAAGCCATGCAACCTCTGAAGAGACAACTAACACAACACCTATACCCCCTATTAGACTATTTTACAGGAACTTCTTTTCCACAGCTCATAAAACGGAGGAAAGGGTCCTGAAAGATATTGTTAATAGAAACGTTATCCCTACAGACAAAAATCAGAGGATACAACTGACGATTTACTATAAAACCAGAAAAACGGCCAGCCTACTCATGAGAAACTCTCCAGACACAAAACAGAACGCTTTAAAAGAGACTAACGTCGTCTATGCCTTCAAATGCCCACTTGGGGACTGTAAGCTCCAAAAAACCCAGTATATAGGCAAGACAACAACATCTCTTTCTAAGCGTTTAACGATGCATAAGCAACAGGGCTCCATTAAGGAACATATAATCTCTTCCCACAACCAAACCATCGCCAGAGAAATCCTAGTAAACAACACAGAAATCATCGATAGATACAGCGATAGCAGGCGGCTTGACGTTTGCGAGGCACTACACATCAAGAAGTCAACACCAGCAATCAACAGCCAATTATTGCACAACTATATTCTACCCACCTCAAGACTCCGCTCCAATATAGAAGCATCAAGAAATATGGACCAATAGGCTTTCTACAAACACTTCTATTCAATATCCATTGTTACGTGTTCTGTCTTGTGTTGATGAAATTAATACCCTATTAATACTCTTGTTCTGTCTTGTGTTGATGAAATTAATACCCTATTAATACCACATTTTGTTCTGTCTTGTGTTAATGCCACATCACCCCTTCCACCTCACTCAAATGTAGATATAAAAACGGAGATACGTAAGTTCTATTCAGTTGTGTATTTGTGAACTAAAGTCTTTGAAAATGTAATAAGTTTTACGAAACGCGCCCGTGTCGCGTCAGACTAGAAATAAAAATGAATTTTGGAGAATTGATTTTTGATTTACCTCCAACAGTGAAGCGTAATGTACGAAAGATTGAGAAAATTCGTGTTAGAATTATTAATCTTACTTTTTCGGTCATATTTAATAATATATGTCTACAGGAAAGACTGCTACCAAAATATACTAATATATATATATATATATATATATATATATATATATATATATATATATATATATATATTATATATATATATATATATATATATATATATATATATATATATATATATATATGTCGTACCTAGTAGCCAAAACGCACTTCTCAGCCTACTATGCAAGGCCCGATTTGCCTAATAAGCCAAGTTTTCATGAATTAATGTTTTTTCGACTACCTAACCTAACCTTTTTGGCTACCTAACCTAACCTATAAAGATAGGTTAGGTTAGGTTAAGTAGGGTTGGTTAGGTTCGGTCATATATCTACGTTAATATTAACTAAAAAAAAATTGACCTCATACATAATGAAATGGGTAGCTTATGGGTAAATCGTCAGTTGTATGATTTACTATAAAACCAAAAAAACGGCCAGCCTACTCATGAGAAACTCTCCAGACACAAAGCAGAACGCTTTAAAAGAGACCAACGTCGTCTATGCCTTCAAATGCCCTCTTGGGGGCTGTAAGCCTCAAAAAACTCAGTATATAGGCAAGACAACAACATCTCTTTCCAGGCGTTTAACAATGCATAAGCAACAGGGCTCCATTAAGGAACATATAATCTCTTCCTACAACCAAATCATCACCAGAGAAATCTTACCAAACAACACAGAAATCATCGATAGCAGGCGGCTTGACATCTGCGAGGCACTACACATCAAGAAGTCAACACCAGCAATCAACAGCCAATTAATGCACAACTATATTCTACCCACTTCAAGACTCCGCTCCAATATAGAAGCATCAAGAAATATGGGCCAATAGGCCCTCTGCAATTACTTCCATTCTTACCTTCAATACCCATTGTTTCGTGTTCTGTCTTGTGTTGAAAGTTTTGTTCACCTCATCCAAAACTGTTGTAACATATCACCTCACCCAAAATGCGGGTATAAAATGAAAAATGAGAGCTGTTTAAATCATAGCATAGTAAGAACTCTGTTTAGTGTTTGCAAGTAATAGTTGTGTGTGTGTAAACTAAAAGTCTTTGAAAATGTAATAAGTTATTACGAAACGCGTTCAAGTGTCGCGTCAGACTAGAAATAAAAATGAATTTTGGAGAATTGATTTTTTAATTACCATCAACAGTGAAAAGAAACATAAGAAAGATCGAAAAAATTCGTGTTAGAATTATTAATCTTACTTTTCGGTCATATTTTATATATATATATATATATATATATATATATATATATATATATATATATATATATATATATATATATATATATATATATATATATATATATATATATATATATATATATATATGTCGTACCTAGTAGCCAGAACTCACTTTTCAGCCTACAATGCAAGGCCCGATTTGCCTAATAAGCCAAGTTTTCATGAATTAATATATTTTCTTTAATTTTTTTCTTATGAAATGATAAAGCAACCCATTTCATTATGTAAGAGGTCAAATTTTTTTTATTGGAGTTAAAATTAACGTAGATATATGACCGAACCTAACCAACCCTACCTAACCTAACCTAACCTATCTCTATAGGTTAGGTTAGGTTAGGTAGCCAAAAAAGTTAGGTTAGGTTAGGTTAGGTAGTCGAAAAGCAATTAATTCATGAAAACTTGGCTTATTAGGCAAATCGGGCCTTGCATAGTAGGCTCAGAAGTGAGTTCTGGCTACTAGGTACGACATATATATTTATATTTATATATATATATATATATATAATATACATATATATATATATACATATATATATAATATACATATATATATATATATACATATATATATAATATGTGTGTGTGTGTAGCAAGTGAAAAGAAAATCACTGATTATAATACATATATTCTATCCGTACAAACCCAACAAGGGAGAGAGAGAGCAGCAACCGCCGTGTTAGCATGGTGGGGTTATCACCCACCTGCTCATCATCCATGTTGGACGGGGAACTCAAGTCACTACATGCATAATAATTACATAGTTCAGAATTTTTGTATAATATTCACTATCTGCATACACCTACCAACTTTTATGAAAATAGATTCGTGGGTAAGCAAAACCGTCAACACTTGTACCATAATTATCCTATCTACACCGGTGGTAGAGGACGAGGCTATGGACGTGTGCCCACCGGCCGAGCGAGAACACAACTGAATATCAAGAAGGTTAGAAGGCATACATTAGCATATCGCGGAGACAAATGGCTTGTAAATACCATGTTTCTTTCCTTTTCTTATTATTATTACTCAGTCCAGTGTTTGTGTCTTTCCTTTTCTTATTATTATTACTCTGTCCAGTGTTTGTGTCTTTCCTTTTCTTATTATTATTACTCAGTCCAGTGTTTGTGTCTTTCCTTTTCATATTATTATTACTCAGTCCAGTGTTTGTGTCTTTCCTTTTCATATTATTATTACTCAGTCCAGTGTTTGTGTCTTTCCTTTTCTTATTATTATTACTCAGTCCAGTGTTTGTGTCTTTCCTTTTCTTATTATTACTCAGTCCAGTGTTTGTGTCTTTCCTTTTCTTATTATTATTACTCAGTCCAGTGTTTGTGTCTTTATTGCATTTTTTTTATTTGGTATAGCTCTACTTAGTAAAATTGTATTGTATTAAGTTAAAATAGGGAATTCATATCAGTTGGATATTTATTTATTTAATTATTTTAAAGGTGAGCACTGGGTTTTAGGTGCCAGAAAAAAGTTCTTTGGTGTGCCACCTTTGGCACGTGTACCAAAGTTTTGTCCTCCCCTGCCCTAGGATATTATTTTAGTATATAGTTTCTAAAATTATGAATATTCTTATATAATACTATATATAATCTTCATTGAGGTTAGTAGGTAGGATACCATTGAGTCTAAAAGTATATCGCTGGGAACTGGTGATTAGTCAGATCTTTATGAGCATAATTATAGAAGTGACAATTATAATTGACTCTTGGAAGGGAACTTAGACTTTCACTAGTCAAAATATATATTACACTTATATATGTCTAACCTACACTTGAAACACTCGCACGACCCCACGTGTATGATATTACCCAGTAATTTGTTCCATCAGTCTACAAACTGTATTCCAAACTAGTATTTACCCAGGTCTTTTCCGGAATGTAAATTTATCAAATTTGTGAGAAAATGGTGTATAATGGTAGTCCAGAAACACGGCTTAGATCCCATTCAATAGCCTCAATATTTTATCATAGAAACAATAGGTTGCTGCGATTTAATTTGTCTTTTTCCTATTCTAATCCTTTCTTTCGTTGTTATCTCTGTACAGTATTGCTTATCGTTTATTCATGAGATTATCTATGATCCTCAGAAGCCAAGTGACTGCCAACCGGTGTTTGGACTGGTGGAATGATGTTGCTGCACTCCCGAAGGCTGCCGACAGCCTGTGGCAAGAAACTGGCGTGGCTCCAAGCGCCCACCCAACACTCTGTAAAACGCTTCCGGCATCGGCAAGGTAGGTTACTAATAATTCCCGCTATCGGGTACAGGAAGCCTGTGTGTATATATATATATATACCTTAGGCTTATATCAAGGTCCCCCTCTGGCTTTGCGCCCTGGTGAGGCCACTCCAGACCAGGCCGACGCCAGAGTGCAACTCCATAGTCTCCTGAGACTGATGGATGCCTACTACTACTAATATCAAGCTCCCCTCCCCCCCAAGGTCCTTGCATCCTCCCCGGGATACAAACACACAGCAGGTGCCTGTTTACTGTTAGGTGAATAGAGCCATTAGGTCAAAAGAAACGAAATTAAAAATATCTATCCCGCACGGGAATTGAACCCTGGATCCCCAATTGTGCATCGACAATGCAGCCAACTGTGCCACGGAAACTTAATTTACTATTCAAATGGGAGGACAGAAAACCTGTTTGGCTTATTGAGGTCACCCAAAGCCCATTACTCACTCACCATAGCCTACTACTCACCCTAAGCCTACTACTCATCCTAGGCCTAATATTCACCTTTCTCATGATGCAGCCTTTGTAACGCAACCATTTAAGAAATTCTCATAATTTACATAATTATATACTCATAATTGATATATTTCAACTCATAATTTATATACTTATATGCTCATAATTTATATATTTATATGTTCATAATTGATATACCCATAATTTACATACTCATAATTTATATACTTACAATTATAAATCATATACTTGTATATTTATAATTTATGTACTTATAATTTATATACTTATATAATTATAATTTAATAATTAAAATGTCCCACTCCTGCCGAGTTACTCTTCCAAGAATATAGACATTACGTTTTGCTTAGTAATTGTAGGATCAGACCCAAAATATCGTCACTTTCTTTTCATACATGTAGGTTGAGTTATTTGTTTACACCCTCGTATATATGTGACATTCTCAGCATAGTAGTGGAAGGCATCCATCAGTCTCGGGAGACTATGGAGTTGATTGATTGATGAAGATTAAGCCACCCAAAAGGTGGCACGGGCATGAATAGCCCGTAAGTGGTGGCCCCTTTGAGCCATTACCAGCATTAAGAGCTGATACTGGAGATCTGTGGAGGTGCGACTGCACCCTGCGTGACGGGAGATGTCTCCCGTGGACCAAATACTCTGGAGTTGTGCTCTGGTTGTCGAGGCTGGAGTGACCTACCTCTCCAGGGCGCAAAGCCTGGGTAGGACGAAATAGAGGAGAAGCTGTTACCCATACAGCAGGTCCCTCGACCGCTCCACGTTGCTGAAAGTTCCCAATGGAAAGGCGAACGGCAATACGTTTTGGTTCCAGCGCCGTCGCTGGAGCTGCCAGAACGAGGTTGAAGTCAACAACGAACTGCCTTAGGGGCTCCAACTCCGGATTTTTCCTCGAAGTTGACTGTTCTCTATCCAATATCCATGGATATTGGATAAAGAATAGATAACATTTATCCTTTATACATGGCACCTATTCTCAGCATAGGTGTCATGGATAATGGTGTCACACACTGACCATAAGGTTTCTCTCCAGCTTACGCAAACAATTATTAAGGAATGCTGTGAGTGGTCGTACATTACTTGCCACTTGCCACATCGCGCGCGCCAAGATATATATTTGTCATAAGATTGTGCTGTAAGGTACGATTATGTTACGTTGTTGGGTAGATTAGATACACAGTGTTTAGTGGGTTTCATATTTATTTAGTAGTCCTGGATACAGCAGTGTCGTAGACGTTGAGACGAAGCCTGGAGCAGAGCAGAGAGCTGAGTGTGGCCGGAGTCGCGGAGCTCTATGTGGGAGAGCGTTGTAGCTGGATGCGGTCCTAGTCTGCTGCCTGTTCTGTGTCGAAGCTGTAGCGTCTTGGAGACGATTAGAACTGCCTACGCCGAGTGCTACATTCTTGACTGGAAATTGTACTGTTGTCTATTCGATTGATTGATTGAGAGATGAAGATTAAGCCACCCAAAAGGTGGCACGGACATGAATAGCCCGTAAGTGGAGGCCCTTTTGAGCCATTACCAGTATCAAGAGCTAATACTGGAGATCTGTACAGGTGCGACTGCACCCTGCGTGACAGGAGATGTCTCCCGTGGTTGTCTATTCTCATATCGCTTCCTTATATTTGGTGACTACCCCTCACCTTTCTCTACTAGGATAGGAGGACGTGAGAACTGTTACCTGTAATTAGGGATAGGATTATAGCTTGTGTAGTAAGTGCTAATTAGTTAAGCCATTAAGATAATGAGATAATGGAGCGAGTATAAGGATTACTCACTACAGTGCTTTTCAGTGGATAATTAATTTGCTATTTGGCTATCCACGGACCCTATAATGAATTTCTAGTTTCCACTGAGGTTGTGTGTGTGTGGGAACAAACAAAAAATTATTTTAATATTTCGGAGAGAGTAAAATTTACTTGAAATATTCCTTGTTGCGTTTTTGTAATATTTGATGTCAATATTGCAGATAGCGGGCTAGAAGCATTGTGCTGCTGGGACAATGTCTCTCTGGACCTTATAGTCCCGTCCGTCATGAACCCTGAGGGCCGTCTTCATCACCAACCAATTCCCTACGTCATGGACCCTGAGGGCCGCCTTCACCAGCAATCATCACCCTCCCTCATAGACCCTGAGGGCCGTCTTCACCAGCAACCATCACCCTCCCTCATGGACCCTGAGGGCCGCCTTCACCAGCGACCATCACCCTCCCTCATAGACCCTGAGGGCCGTCTTCACCAGCAACCATCACCCTCCCTCATTGACCCTGAGGGCCGCCTTCACCAGCGACCATCACCCTCCCTCATGGACCCTGAAGGCCGCCTTCACCAGCAACCATCACCCTCCCTCATGGACCCTGAGGGCCGCCTTCACCAGCAACCATCACCCTCCCTCATGGACCCTGAGGGCCGCCTTCACCAGCAACCATCACCCTCCCTCATGGACCCTGAGGGCCGCCTTCACCAGCAACCATCACCCTCCCTCATTGACCCTGAGGGCCGCCTTCACCAGCGACCATCACCCTCCCTCATGGACCCTGAGGGCCGCCTTCACCAGCGACCATCACCCTCCCTCATGGACCCTGAGGGCCGCCTTCACCAGCGACCATCACCCTCCCTCATGGACCCTGAGGGCCGCCTTCACCAGCAACCATCACCCTCCCTCATGGACCCTGAGGGCCGCCTTCACCAGCAGCCATCACCCTCCCTCATGGACCCTGAGGGCCGCCTTCACCAGCAACCATCACCCTCCCTCATGGACCCTGAGGGCCGCCTTCACCAGCAACCATCACCCTCCCTCATGGACCCTGAGGGCCGCCTTCACCAGCAACCATCACCCTCCCTTATGGACCCTGAGGGCCGTCTTCACCAGCAACCATCACCCTCCCTCATGGACCCTGAGGGCCGCCTTCACCAGCAACCATCACCCTCCCTCATGGACCCTGAGGGCCGCCTTCACCAGCAACCATCACCCTCCCTCATGGACTCGTACGACGCACCATACGAGTGGAATTTCAGGGATCCAGACCCCAGGAGACGCCCCCTGGACGCCGAAGCTTCGAGCGTGCTACGCTCTAAGCCAACAGCCTCCAACAAGATATTCCCTATACTCTGCAAGTCAGTGCCGTCCTCTCTACCTCAGACGCTGGAGACCTTTGACAACAGTAAGTGGTAGCCATAATAGACCAGGAATATGCACTCTGAGAGGTGTCTAGTGAACTAATTATTCAGACTAGTTCAGGTTTGGAGATGATTGATTGATGAAGATTAAGCCACCCAAAAGGTGGCACGGGCATGAATAGCCCGTAAGTGGTGGCCTTTTTAAGCCATTACCAGTATCAAGAGCTGATACTGGAGATCTGTGGAGGTGCGACTGTACCCTGCGTGACGGGAGATGTCTCCCGTGAGGTTTGGAGTGCACAATGCATTATATATATCAAGGCCAGGTCAGGTGTTATATGTGTAAGGTAACACAGTGCAGGTCAGGTGTGGTGTGTGTAAGGTAGCACAGTGAAGGTCAGGTCAGGTGTGGTTTATGTAAAGTAGCATAACGAACGCCAGGAGAAGTTTTCGGAAGAAAGATGCCTATACCGGAATGATTAGAACAGACAGAATAGTTCGGCGATTGTGTACCCTGAGGCTCACTCTGAACCAATTAACTAACATATCGCTCTTACTCCTAGACACGAAAATGGGAATATTAATAGACCTGTTCCTGTGGTCACCATTTTAATTATACGTAGAAGGATAAATACTTCTCTCAGGTTGTAGCTTTACCCGGGAAAGAGTGGGGCCTCCACCAGCGGGTATATTTCTTTACCGTTGCCCAAGGAGATATTTTTCCCTACCCATAACTCACGACTATACTTTCCAGGTGAGGTGAAGCTGACAACCGGTACACACAACCAAAAACCCCAAAAGCGAAAACCTGGCAGGCCGCCTAAACCAAGTAAGTAATCGAGACAGTTGACCAGACCACACACTAGAAGGTGAAGGGACGACGACGTTTCGGTCCATCCTGGACCATGCACAATCGACTTGAGAATGGTCCAGGACGGACCGAAACGTCGTTGTCCCTTCACCTTCTAGTGTGTGGTCTGGTCAACTTACTTTAGCCACGTTATTGTGACTCATCGCCTGCTCATCGAGACAGTATACGCTACCCGCACCTACTGTTCGTTGTTGTTGTTGTTGTTTTAGATTTAGTTACTCAGAACGAAATGTCCATGTAGCACGGGCTATGGTGAGCCCGTAATTGAGTTCGGTTATACGCGATAACCTTGTTACTCTGATATTTGGGTCAAATTTTTAAATGGAGGTGGGGTTTCCTCCTTTTTTCCCTGTTTCTATTTTTGCTTCTGTTTTAGTTGTGTTTTAATAACATTATCTTGGTGGCGGATGTAGGTGCAGAATGTTCACTAGTGAGTCCCATTCTTTAACGGCTTTTCTAATCACTGTAGTGGCTGTGGAATATGCATCTAATGCAGCTGCTGTCGTTGGATTAATGTTGACTTTGATGCGCAGGGCTTCAGTAACTTCACATTCCAGTAAGGAGTGCAATAGTGGCGCCTCTGCTTGTGTTCCACCTACTGTACGATACCTTCAGTTTATATACGGTACCTCCACCTACCCGAGGTACCTTTCTTCTCTCAAGAGGAGACTGTGGGAGAGATGTAGGCTTTACACAAATATAAGTACTTTTGTATTGTAACGTACGATTATGTTACGTTTATTTGGTTGATTAGATACACAGAGTTTAGTGGTTTTCTATATTTATTTAGTAGTCATGGTTACAGCAGTCGGTTGTTGGCAGTGTGGTAGAAGCCTGGAGCGGAGCAGAGTTGAGTGAGGCCAGAGTCGCGGAGCTCTATGCGGGACGAGAGCCTCGAAGCTGGAGGCGGCCGGAGTCTGGCTGTCTGCTCTATGTCGAAGCTAAAGCGTCTTCGGGTAGGAACTGTACACGTCGAGTGCTACATTCTTGAGGTTGAAGATGTGCGGTAACTCTCGAGCGTCTGTACTGAACCACTGTTGAAATTATACTGATGATTGCTCGATTGATTGACTGATAAAGATTAAGCCACCTAAAAGGTGGCACGGGCATGAATAGCCCGTAAGTGGATACTCTTTGGAGCCATTACCAGTACCACTAACTGATACTGTAGACCTGTGGATGGATGGGATCTTCATGGTCGCTCGCAGTTTATAACCCGCAGGAGGCTTGGTCGCCAGGTTGCAGTTTAATGTGCAAGGCAGTTAATGTGCAGTTTAATGTGGACTTTATACTTGAACAGAACAACCTCGGTAGTTTGGTACCATCAGAATCGTCCTCCTTTTCGAGGAATTGCATTTGTCCGTTTGGGAATTTGCGGAATTTGCGGTGGAATTCTGGGTCGCGGTATCCTTCAGTATGGTGAGGTCAGTAGAGGAGTTCATGGTGTTGGCGTGGACATATATAGGGTGAGGGTATTTGCTCTGACTGATTTTCTTGTTATATATGTGGGCCAATTATCTTCTGGTGTGTTCGTTGCCACTGAACTAGCTGGCCGGAATGAAGAGCACATGGCAAGTACTTTTGTCTTCGTTGTCGTTGGTCGCAAGGCCATTCTCGTCGACGTCGGTGGTGGCTCTGGAGAGCCTCCTGGTAATGGTTGTGGGAGTTTCGGGTGGTCCGTCGTCGTCCTCGGATGTGATGTTTTCGTTGGCACGGGCAGCCAGGGTGGGTGGCGTGTTGCGGGGTCAGACCTTAGGACGTCGAGCCGGCAACTGTTGGAGGAGCTGGGAGGTCACCGTCGGTAATCCATTTGCGGTGAGCAGCTGGTTGATGATGTGGACGTCGTTGCCCGCCAACTTGTCGGCGAGGTGTAGAAGTCCCTGAAGCAGGGTGTTGTTGGTGGTAACTACAGATTGATGATTGATGAAGATTAAGCCACCCAAAAGGTGGCACGGACATGAATAGCCCGTAAGTGGTGGCCTTGAGCCATTACCAGTATCAAGAGCTGATACTGGAGATCTGTGGAGGTGCGACTGCACCCTGCGTGACGGGAGATGTCTCCCGTGAGGAGACGTGATTGATTGATGAAGATTAAGCCACCCAAAAGGTGGCACGGGCATGAATAACCCGTAAGTGGTGGCCCTTTTAAGCCATTACCAGTATCAAGAGCTGATACTGGAGATCTGTGGAGGTGCGAATGCACCCTGCATGACGGGAGATGTCTCCCTTATGAATGTGTTAAGATGAAGATGAAGCAACCCAAAAGGTGGCAGGGGCATGAATAGCTCGTAAGTGGTGGCCCTTTTGAGCCATCACCAGTATCAATAGATGATACTGGAGATCTGTGGAGGTGCGACTGCACCCTGCGTGACGGGAGATGTCTCCCGGACCAAATGGACAAATTTGTTATCTTTTTATTCTAGCATTGTTGAGGCAGTTGATAGTGGTAAGGATTGCGATGTTGTGTACCTTGACTTTAGCAAAGCTTTTGATACAGTGCCACATGAAAGACTGATTAAAAAGAGTCTCATGGTATTGGGGGTGCTATATTAAGCTGGATTAGGGCATGGCTATACCAAAGGAAACAGAGAGTTAGTATAAATGGAGTCAAGTCAGAGTGGGAAAATGTTGTAAGTGGGGTGCCTCAGGGCTCTGTCCTGGGACCTCTGTTGTTTATAATATATATTATAATATTTGTTTATAATATGTTTATAATATTTGCCGATGATACGAAAATCGGTAGGGAAATTAATTCGGAGGAGGACTCACTATCACTTCAAGTTGATCTAGATAGGGTTTTGAAATGGTCAAAGGATTGGCAGATGCAGTTTAATGCTGATAAATGTAAAGTTCTGAGGTTAGGTAATGATGATAGAGTTACAAGATACGAGCTAGATGGTGTTGTGATTACGAAGTCGGATTGCGAAAGGGATCTGGGAGTTATGATTAGTAAGAATTTAAAACAAAAGGATCAATGCATAAATGTTCGTAATAAGGCAAATCGGACACTTGGATTTATTAATCGCAGCGTTAGTAACAAGACACCTGGTGTGGTTCTCAAGCTATATCTTGCTCTAGTTAGGCCCCATTTAGATTATGCAGTTCAGTTTTGGTCGCCATATTATAGAATGGATATAAATTCACTTGAACGTGTCCAGCGTAGGATGACTAAGTTAATTCCCCAAATTAGAAATCTTTCATATGAAGAAAGATTAACAAAGCTTAAGTTGCATTCACTGGAAAGGCGAAGAGTTAGGGGTGACATGATAGAGGTTTACAAGTGGATGAATGGACATAACCGGGGGGATATTAATAGGGTATTAAAAGTATCAACACAGGACAGAACACGAAACAATGGATATAAATTGGATAAGTTTAGATTTAGGAAAGACTTGGGTAAATACTGGTTCAGTAACAGGGTTGTTGATTTGTGGAACCAATTGCCGCGTAACATTGTGGAGGTGGGGTCCCTCGATTGTTTCAAGCACGGGTTGGACAAGTATATGAGTGGGATTGGGTGGTTATAGAATAGGAGCTGCCTCGTATGGGCCAATAGGCCTTCTGCAGTTACCTTTGTTCTTATGTTCTTATGTGATTGCGAAGTCGGATTGCGAAAGGGATCTGGGAGTTATGATTAGTAAGAATTTAAAACAAAAGGATCAATGCATAAATGTTCGTAATAAGGCAAATCGGACACTTGGATTTATTAATCGCAGCGTTAGTAACAAGACACCTGGTGTGGTTCTCAAGCTATATCTTGCTCTAGTTAGGCCCCATTTAGATTATGCAGTTCAGTTTTGGTCGCCATATTATAGAATGGATATAAATTCACTTGAACGTGTCCAGCGTAGGATGACTAAGTTAATTCCCCAAATTAGAAATCTTTCATATGAAGAAAGATTAACAAAGCTTAAGTTGCATTCACTGGAAAGGCGAAGAGTTAGGGGTGACATGATAGAGGTTTACAAGTGGATGAATGGACATAACCGGGGGGATATTAATAGGGTATTAAAAGTATAAACTCAGAACAGAACACGAAACAATGGGTATAAATTGGATAAGTTTAGATTTAGGAAAGACTTGGGTAAATACTGGTTCAGTAACAGGGTTGTTGATTTGTGGAACCAATTGCCGCGTAACATTGTGGAGGTGGGGTCCCTCGATTGTTTCAAGCACGGGTTGGACAAGTATATGAGTGGGATTGGGTGGTTATAGAATAGGAGCTGCCTCGTATGGGCCAATAGGCCTTCTGCAGTTACCTTTGTTCTTATGTTCTTATGTTCTTATATAAATGATTTAGATTCAGGTTTGAGTAGCAACATTTGCAAATTTGCCGATGATACGAAAATCGGTAAGGAAATTAATTCGGAGGAGGACTCACTATCACTTCAAGTTGATCTAGATAGGGTTTTGAAATGGTCGAAGGATTGGCAGATGCAGTTTAATGCTGATAAATGTAAAGTTCTGAGGTTAGGTAATGATGATAGGGTTACAAGATACGAGCTAGATGGTGTTGAGATTGCGAAGTCGAATTGCGAAAGGGATCTGGGAGTTATGATTAGTAAGAATTTAAAACAAAAGGATCAATGCATAAATGTTCGTAATAAGGCAAATCGGACACTTGGATTTATTAATCGCAGCGTTAGTAACAAGACATCTGGTGTGGTTCTCAAGCTATATCTTGCTCTAGTTAGGCCCCATTTAGATTATGCAGTTCAGTTTTGGTCGCCATATTATAGAATGGATATAAATTCACTTGAACGTGTCCAGCGTAGGATGACTAAGTTAATTCCCCAAATTAGAAATCTTTCATATGAAGAAAGATTAACAAAGCTTAAGTTGCATTCACTGGAAAGGCGAAGAGTTAGGGGTGACATGATAGAGGTTTACAAGTGGGTGAAGGGACATAACAAAGGGGATATTAATAGGGTATTAAAAGTATCAACACAAGACAGAACACGAAACAATGGGTATAAATTGGATAAGTTTAGATTTAGGAAAGACTTGGGTAAATACTGGTTCAGTAACAGGGTTGTTGATTTGTGGAACCAATTGCCGCGTAACATTGTGGAGGTGGGGTCCCTCGATTGTGTCAAGCATGGGTTGGACATGTATATGAGTGGGATTGGGTGGCTATAAATAGGAACTGCCTCGTATGGGCCAATAGACCTTCTGCAGTTGCCTTTGTTCTTATGTTCTTATATTCTTATACAAAATTCGTTAATTAGTCCCCGTGGTGCAGTGGTAAGACACTCGCCTGGCGTTCCGCGAGCGCTTTGTCATGGGTTCGTATCCTGGCCGGGGAGGATTTACTGGGCGCAAATCCTTAACTGTAGCCTCTGTTTAACTCAACAGTAAAATGTGTACTTGGTTGTAACAACGATTCTTCGCGGCGGGGATCGTATTCCAGGGACCTGCCCGAAACGCTACGCGTACTAGTGGCTGTACAAGAATGTAACAACTCTTGTATATATCTCAAAAAATATATATATACCTTGCCACTTAATGTTTAAAAGACAAAGACAGTGGACTTATATACTGTGACTCGCAGAGTGCTGCTGTTGTTGTTGTTGTTGTAGATTCAGTTACGTTTCATTTACTCTGGACAAAATGTCCATGTAGCACGGCCTATAGTGATCCCGTCATCAGCTAGGCAGAGTGCACTCCTGGCAGTGAACGCACATAGTAGTAACACCCAGAAAATAGTCTGTGATATTCGAATGAATGTTTTAGCTGCTAAAGAAGACAGATTTTAAATTAAATTCCTTTGGAGACCATCACATGTTGGCATTTTAAACAAGATGTTTGTTTTATCAATGGTTTTCGTATTCATTTTGAAATATATATATATATATATATATATATATATATATATATATATATATATATATATATATATACATATATATACATATATATATATATATATATATATATATATATATATATATACATATACATATACATATATATACATATACATATACATACACAACTTACTAGGATGCCTACATGCCGGTCCCAAAAGTGGGACGGGCTAGAGTTTATTGAATAATAGTTTACATATGTAATTATAATTTATTGCTAAGCTCTTTATAATAATCTCTCTCTCTCTCTCTCTCTCTCTCTCTCTCTCTCTCTCTCTCTCTCTCTCTCTCTCTCTCTCTCTCTCTCTCAGTAGGCTCCTAGCATGCAGCCACAACTTACATCTCTCTCTCTCTTGTGTTGCGTGACAGAAGGGGACAAGCAGCACCTGATGTCTAAGAAGATACCTAAGATCTGGGAGTTCATCTCCAGCCTCCTGCACGACCCTACCACATGCCCGTCCGTCGTGGAATGGCAAGACAAAGAAAACGGGATCTTCCGCTTTGTTGATCCGCAGAAGGCGGGCAAACTGTGGGGGGCGGTGAAAAACAACCCTTATATGAATTATGAGAAGATGAGCCGGGCTATGAGGTACGTCACTTGGTACAGTGGGTATGTTTGTATTTGTAAGGGTGTGTCAGGGTGTGGGTTTTGTATCGAGAGATGTGCTGGCATTAGTTTAGTTCATTTATTATGCACCCCCCATACCCATCTTGTGGGCGGTAGTGGAAAGGGTTACAGAAGCACATAATGGGCTCAAACTTCCATTCGTTACCCAAAGGAATGGTAACGTTTGGGTAACTAACTCCTTCGTTACCCAATAATGCTAGCTAGACATAAACTGCTTTAAGGAAGAGGGAGATTGGCCGTCTTTTGGTTACCGAGGGTGTCCAATGGGTTCTATTACAGCCCTCTAGCAAGCACTTAAGATCAGGATGAACACTGCAGTTCACAGTTTTACAGTTACAGATGGACTGGAGTGTGTTCTAGATGATGATTGATGTTGCGTAATTAGGAGTCGGAGGAAATTTTGTGTAGTAAATCCCCTTGCACAGATACCATAGGTGAGTTATAGGTAAATCGTTGAATAATACGTGGTTAATAACGCTGGGTGCAGGGTTGATAACTCAGTATCTGACTTTGGAGAAAATGCCTATACTGTTTTATAAACTTTTTGGTTATATTTTATATATGGCAATGGATATTCAGCTCGTCAATGTGAACACGAAGGAATTTCCCATCTCCTCGACTCATAATTTGAGTATTGTTAATTTTTAGGTTAAGACATTTCAGGTCTTCACAATAGAGGAAGAAGTGCCTGAACTAAGAGAGAGAGGGTTATACCAAGCAGCACTGGAGGAAGTTGAGAGTACCGTAGATGAGGTGAGAAAGCATCCGCTGGAACTGGCTGTGAAAAAGCTGTTGAACCAGACAGAATCTCACATGGATGCTAAAAGAGGGAACAGAAGAGTATGAGTGCCAGTTCCTGCTGTGTTTAGTCAACTACTGGAAACAGGAGACCTACCAGAAAGTTGGAAGGTAGCTAATGTAATCTTAACATACAAAAATGGAGACAAGCACGAAGAATTGAATTACATGCCGGTGTCCTTAACTTGCATACCCTGCTAGGTAATGTAGAAGATTGTGAGCATAAACTAATGGAACATTTGGAGAAGGAACTTTGCAAAACACGACCAGCACGGGTGAAGGAATGGTAAATCTTGCCATCACAAGTTAGTAGAATTCTAAGACCAGGCAACAAAAACTAGACAAAACAAAAGAAGGATTCAGTTCTAGGATTTCTCCTGTTTCTCATATATAACGATCTTCCAGACGGAATAGACTCATTCTTCTCAATGTTTGCTCATGATGTAAACATTATGAGAAGGTTTAAATCAAGAAGAGCGCAAGAGGCTACAAGATGACCTGAACAAAGTGAAAGAATGGTCAATCAAATAGCTACTTGAATTTAACTCAAGTAAATACAAATTACTGAAAATTCAACCTGTTCTCCTACAAATAACGTCGCATTTCGATCGTATGCGCTACATAAGGCCAAAAATTATTGTACTAGAAAATGGAAGCGGCTCACGAAAGTAACGAACTGTCCCGTTTTCTGTTTTGGGTCCTCTGGGTGTTTAGGATAAGGTCACTTTAAATTGACCGTTTTCTTGACGTTGTAAAACCTTAGGAGGACGGGCTGGAACATTAGCATAGGGAGCAGGAGGCCGGACAAATGGAAACTAAATGAGAGATGAAATCTTTCAGAAGTTAGATAGCGAGAAAGATATGGGGTCGATATCATACCAAACTTGTCTCCTGAAGTCCACATCAATGGGATATCTTCATTCGTATATGCTAGGTTGGCCAGAAATTTGCGTAAGGAATCATTCAGAACCTTCTATATCACATACGTCAGACCCATCCTGGAGTATGCGGCTCCAGCAGGGTCACGCTCAAGACCAATTAAGAGAAAATCCATGTGTCCCAGACCAGTCCCAGAACTGACAAGAATGAGTTACGAGGAAACGGCTACTGGAATTAAACCTTACGTTGCTGGAAGACGGAAGAGTTTTGTGAGACATGATTACCACATGCAAAATTCTCAGGAAAACTGTTAGGGTAGATGCAGCCTGTTTAACACGGGCGGCACCTACACTAGGTGACACAGGTAGAAACTTAGTACCTAAATGAGTGACAGAGACATTAAAGAGAACTTTTTCAGTGTCAGTAGTTAACAAATGGAATGCATTAGGCAGTGATGTGATGGAGGCTGACTCCATCCACAGTTTCAAATATAGATATGATAGAGCCCAATAGGCTCAGCAACTAGTATACATACATGCATTCATAAATACATACTTAAGTACATACATATAAACATATCCTTAAATTGTAAATACCATCAGTATGTTTTTTTGTTTTCCAATGATGTACTCTCATACAACAATATATTATTCTGAATGAAAAGTATAAGTTTACCATACAAATTGTATTTCTCAAAATTCATATTCATTTCCTTCCAGATACCACTACACGACCGAGGCGCTGGAAATGGTTAAATCAAAACGCCTTGTTTACAAGTTTGGTATAAAAGCACGAGTGTAGAAATCACACTTACTGCAACCTAATATATATATGTTCCACAAAATCAACAATAACACACACCTAAAAGCAACAGCTGTGAAAGCATTGAACCTCTCCCTAAAAGATGACCAATGGGACCAAGCAACCAATGGGACCAAGCAACCAATGGGACCAATGCGACCAAGCAACCAATGGGACCAAGCAACCAATGGGACCAAGCAACCAATGGGACCAATGCGACCAAGCAACCAATGTGACCAAGCAACGCTCCCAGTTAGACTCTGGGGTATAGATACACGCAAGGCGACACAGATAGCATTGCCTGTGTTCTTATCTTCAATCAGTGCTACGAGTGAATTAGGGAAAGAAATATTGCCAGAGGACCTAATTAAGAGACTTAAATCCCAAAAGATTGGGATTTAAGATCCCAAATTCGCTAAAGGAATCAGCCAGGTTGACACTCTTGCAGGCTCTTCACCGTGTCCAACTTTTTCGAATGACTGCAAACAGGCCAAATAGGATAGTCGGGGTCGATCTCGATTCGCAATCGTGATATCCAGGTACGAATCCCGGGCGGGACAGAAGGGGTTGGAGGCGTTTCCTATCACCAAATGTCTCTGTTCACCTAGCAGTAAATAGGTAACCGGGACTTAGACAGCTTGTTGCATGGTTGCATCCTGGGAGGAGTTAGTAGCTCGACCTTTGGGGGACCTCGATATAAACCTAACATGTATACACAAGCACCTAGGTAACTAGGTGAGTACAGGCTGCCTGTCTCCTGACATAATAAATAGTTATCATTAACCCCATTGCCTCAGCAATGCTAGAGACAGCTACTGAGAAGGACAAAGCACGCCTCCTCATTGTGCAAGCTCCCCATGCTGGGGACTTCTTCTTGGCTATCTTTAATTCTGCTTTGGGCACCCTACAGTAAGTATTGGTGTTGCCTTGCGCCTTGTCAACCCTGTCTCCACCGAACACCGGTGTATCTGCGGCTATGCGTCGGCAAACCAATACGGCAGTCATGGTCTCATCTGTCGTAAGTCACAGGAAAAGATTGCCAGACATGAAGCAGTCAATGACATCATCAAGAGAAGTTTGGCTACAGCTGGGTGTCCAGCACAAAGGGAACCTCAGTTGTGCAGACCTGACAACATCCAAAAATGCCCAGATGGAGTCACCCTTTCAGCCATGGAGGGAAGGTAGACAGGTCGTGTCGGACTACACGTGTGTGTCTACATTGGTTGATACCTATCTACCTCAGTACTGCTGAGAGAGGCGGGGTGGCCACCTTCAGGAAGACCCAGAAAACTAATAAGTACAGGGACCTAGAACGTTGTTACAGGTTGATCCCAATAGGCTCTGAGACCCTGGGGGTCTGAGGTAAATGTGCACTTAAGTTCCTAAAGGAGGTGGGTGAAACTAGACACCCAAGAATGGTTAGTTTCCTGCCCAGCGCCTCAGTGTTGCTGTCCAGAGAGGAAGTGCTTGCTGAATCTTGACCACATGCCCGCCTCTGCAGAGCTGGATTAGGACTTCGAAAAATGATTGTTATATATGTGTGTTTTCTGTAAACTGTAACACAATGTAATAAAATAAATAAAATAAATCATATTGTATATAATAATAAAAAGTAGGGGGTTAGGAGAAGAAAATACTCAACCGTTCATGGAGAATCTAGTGTCTTCTCTGAATACTCTTTATTCTCATCTCTGAGGCTATGGGTCCCTACAGTACCTATGGGTCCCTATATATATATATATATATATATATATATATATATATATATATATATATATATATATATATATATATATATATATATATATATATATATATATATATATATATATATATATATATATATATATATATATATATATATTATATATATATATATATATATATATATATATAGAGAGAGAGAGAGAGCCTTACACGCGTGGGGTCCATGGTTCGAGATATATATGGTTCGTTTTGACCCAAGATGTAAGAAGATTACAAATTCTTGAAGCAATCCACATAAGAATAGAAGAAGCCACCATGAATACCCACATCACGGAACTATTTACTCTACCCACCATAAGTGTAAGAACAAGACCGGAACATAACGATGCCAACACAAAAGACTGCTCAACATAATAGGCCCATTACGTCTGATTAATCTTTGTATGTGCTTCGTCCCATATTATCCCCTATTTATCCCCCTGACCATTCCCTTTATTCTACTTGTTATCGCACCTGACCCCGTACTGGTATAAATCCAACGAGATTAGTAATTTCTTCACAGCGACGGGAGACATCTCCCGTCACGCAGGGTGCAGTCGCGCCTCCACAGATCTCCGGTATCTTCTATTGATACTGGTAATGGCTCAGAAGGGCCACCACTTACGAGCTATTCATGCCCGTGCTACCTTTTGGGTGGCTTCATCTTCATCTTAACACATTCACAAAGGAGACATCTCCCGTCACGCAGGGTGCATTCGCACCTCCACAGATCTCCAGTATCAGCTTTTGATACTGGTAATGGCTCAAAAGGGCCACCACTTACGGGCTATTCATGCCAGTGCCACCTTTTGGGTGGCTTAATCTTCATCAATCAATTAATTTCTTCACGGGAGACATCTCCCGTCACGCAGGGTGCAGTCGCACCTCCACAGATCTCCAGTATCATCTATTGATACTGGAAATGGCTCAAAAGGGCCACCAATTACGAGCTATTCATGCCCAAGCCACCTTTTGGGTGGCTTAATCTTCTCTCTCTCTAATTTCTTCAGGGACACAGCCCCGCTCCTGTGCCAGGTAAGTCCACTACGGGCTCACCATAGCCCGTGCTAATTGGAACGTGTTGTTCCGAGTAGCTGAATCTTAAACAACAACGTAATTTCTTATCATTTGAGAATGAACCATGAAGGTTCGAAACGTGCGAGTTTATAGTAAATGTAATACATTCTTCTGTTATTCAATTCTTTTCTTCACCTTGAAAACAACATGACTTTTGGTGAACTCCTTTTCCAGCTGAACCCTGATGCAAGAGCATTAGTAAGAGGGATAGAAGCCCTAAATTAGAAAATATTAAATACGGAATATGCTGTCATATTCAATGAGACATGTATAAAAGAAAACCTGCTGTCAGTATACACCAATATATATATATATATATATATATATATATATATATATATATATATATATATATATATATATATATATATATATATATATATATATATATATATGTATATATATATATATATATATATATATATATATATATATATATATATATATATATATATAGAGAGAGAGAGAGAGAGATATTATATGGGTTATTATATTTTATTCAATCGCTTGGCATAGTGCCAGATTCCGTACAAATTATTTTTGATCCTATAAATTCGGCAATTTATTATTTCTCCATTAAACTTTCTGCCCTATTAATAACAAAGTTTCAATTTAGTTTTGTGCATGATAATAGACGCTAAAGACACTTAAAGAGGAAAATTCCCTTAACAAGGAAAATTATATATAAATATGGCAAGCACGCGAAGCGCCAAGCACACGCTTTATATACCACTTCTCTCGTGGAAATTAATTTCATTATTTAAAGATTATAAGTAAGAAATAAATCATTTATCCACATATCTGAGCTATGATAAAGCTACAATTAAGTTTTAATTAAACGACAGAGAGAAATCTTCGGTAGAGGCGGGCGAGCGTTAGACTCCGGGTCCCTCAAGTAACAAACATGGAGGACGCTACACAGTTGTCTAAAATGAAGGTAAGCCCAAATTATCCGAAAATACACCTTGTATTGATCTTAATTCACCCTCTGGTGACGTAGAGACGCAAACCAGATGTTCAGGGTTCTTGGGATTTCGTTATAGTGTGGTACAAAGCGTAAATATGGCGGAAAATCGGTAAGGGAGAGAGGAAGGTTGAAGCCGCATCACTTTGCCGCTTTCAGAAACTTCGTGGCTCTGTGCCAAGCTTTGCTACAGTACTCAAATACCACAGTGTGTGGCCCAGCAATCACGGTATCTATCTTAATGTTGTGCAGCAGTGCCTTAGAAGGTCAAGGCATTGGGAACTAGAGAGGCACCAGGAGCCAGTGGATAGCTTGGCATTTTCTGGAATGGAATTTGGAACTCTGCCTTGAGTCAGTTAAGGTAGTTGTTCTCGTCTGGTGGTGGATTGTATTTGCTTTTAGGGGTCGCAAATGTCCATACCTGCTGGTGTGGTCAAATCGTATACGGGACTTCGACGAGGCTAATTTGCCCACTATCAAAATGAGCCTTGTTGAAGTCCCGTTAGAATGGTTACTTGTTTATGTTTACTGGTTTGGGTTAGGAAAGGTGGATTAGTTTGAGTTAGGTAAGGCATATTGGTTTGGGTTAGGTAAGGCAAATTGTTTGGGTTAGGTAAGGCATATTGGTTTGGATTAGGTAAGGTAAATTAGTTTGGGTTAGGTAAGGCAAATTGGTTTCAGTTAGGTAAGGCAAATTGGTTTGGGTTAGGTAAGGCATATTGGTTTGGGTTGGATTAGGTTAGGTAGATTTTAAAATCCATTGTCAACCTGTCTTGCATACAATATAGCTTGTATCCAAGTAATCTTACTTTGTGAATGTTAATCAGTTCAGTGAGTGAGAATCGGTATTGTGTAGGGTATGGTGTCAATATTCCGATGTCTCAGAGAGCTGTTTGTATCACTTCTTCAGGAGCAGTTGAAGAATTGTGTGAAGAATCATTTTAGAATTATAGATAATATTGTATCCATAACCCAATGGGCACTGCACCATCGAAATGCGTGTGTCCAAAGAATGCATCGGGCACAGGGCATGGTCAAATCGTACAAATGCATTTCATCAAACCCTCTTTTTTTTTTAATTATTAAAGTCACGTTTCATTGTATTTGAGTATTATTATTAGCTTAGGTTGGTTATTATTAGCTGAGGTAGGGTATGATTAAGTAGGTTTTAAAATCTGAAGCCAAACCATCTTGGTCCAAAATGACTTGTATATGGGTACAGGTTACATCGAGCCCAAGATTGTTTGCAAATGGATTTTGAATAACTACCTTACCAGAAGATTATCCAAGTTGTACATTACCCCAAGGGTGCGTATCCAAGTTATGTAACACCCTAGAGGTCTGTATCCAAGTTATGTAGCACCCTAGAGGTCTGTATCCAGGTTGTGTAGCACCCCAGAGGTCTGTATCCAGGTTGTGTAGCACCCCAGAGGTCTGTATCCAGGTTGTGTAGCACCCCAGAGGTCTGTATCCAGGTTGTGTAGCACCCCAGAGGTCTGTATCCAGGTTGTGTAGCACCCCAGAGGTCTGTATCCAGGTTGTGTAGCACCCCAGAGATCTGTATCCAGGTTGTGTAGCACCCCAGAAATCTGTATCCAAGTTATGTAACACCCCAGAGGTCCATATTCAAGTTATGCAACACCCCAGAGATCTATATCCAAGTTATTTAGCACCCCCATGAGTATATATTTTGTTAAATCAGCAAAGAATAAACTTAGAGAATCCTGACAAATATAAAGTTTGTACATATGTCAGTTGCAAGCACATAGGGTACTGTGCTGATTGGATTCTGGCTCTTGGAAGACATTACTACTATTTGCTAGGATTGGTTTGAGGGACCTGATTATTGAGTGGACAGTACTCAGGATTCGTAGTCCTAAGGTTACGGGTTCGATCCCCGGCGGAGGTGGAAACGAACAGGCAGAGTTTCACCATGATGCTCCTGTTCACCTAGCAGTAAATAGGTACCTGGGAGTTTAGACAGCTGCTACGGGTTGCTTCCTGGGGGTGGAGGCCTGGTCAAAGACCGGGCTGCAGGGACACTATGCTCCAAAATCAGCTCAAGATAACCTCAAGATAGGAGGTTCATGGTGCAAAAATAACCTGGTTGGTACTGATGGTCTAAAATGTTTACCACCTAACAAATCAACAGCATTTGAGTTATGTTTGTTGATGTACATTACAGAGGGAGTAGTGTTGAATCATACACAAGACATCCCAAAAAAGTTTGTTCTTCGATTGTCAAAATGGCTTATTTCGTTAGGTTAAAATGTATTAGCTTAGGCTTGGTTAGGTTAGGTTGGCAATCTGTCTAATGTATGATATGATTCCTATCCTTATGAAGACCAGATGCGTGAAATGACCACATTCCAACACATTAAATGCAGGTTATTGTACGTCGGCCAGTATAATGAAAAGACAAAAGTTTCAAGAGTGCTTAATTTTAATGAAATTAAAGAATTTACAACCAATTTTTGTAATAGCATGAAGGTCTGCTTTATGAATAGCCCCACTTCTAAACTCATTCCATACCTTAAATTACCCAAACATAACAAAACTCAACCAGGAAAGTGTAACTGTTGGAAAGGAATGAGTCGATAATGAAGGGAATGATAGTTGTGTGTAATGTGGCATGCATCACTCGGACAGTAACGTTACCATACATATCAGAATTAATTCACCTTATGGTTCCCACAGCCAGGGACAGGAAACCTTATTTAGGCATATGGAAAGTCCCTCTTAGCTAACTACTGACTACTAACAAGGATGTACCAGTAATAGGAGCTTTACTCCCTATTTACTGCCAGGTGAACAGATGCAGCAGTTGAAAGGAAACATTATACAAAGGCAGGCGATGAGTCACAATAACATCGCTGAAGAATGTTGACCAGACCACACACTAGAAGGTGAAAGGACGACGACATTTCGGTCCGTTTCTGGACCATTCACAATCGACTTGAGAATGGTCCAGGACGGACCGAAACATCGTCGTCCCTTCACCTTCTAGTGTGTAGTCTGGTCAACATTGCACAAAGGCCTTGCCATGGGAACCGAAGCCTGGTCTTGTCGGCTGTGACCCGACTGCACTTCTCGCCAAACACCAAAACTACGACGTTGGTACAACATTCGAGCAAGTTTTAACACTTCCTAAACAGTTATAACAACCAATATAGCAAGTTGTAACAACGTTTTAATACGTCATAAACACGTTAAGCCAAGATGTAACAACTTTATTACAAGTTGTAACAAGCGGAAAATAGAGACAGTTTCGGTTTGTGTTTCCAGGGTTATCACTGCTCCCCACAACCCTGTGTCGAGTTTTAGCCTTGGTTATGGGGACCATAATCTGCCTTCCAATATCAATAGCATTTGTATACTGTACTGCACATTCCATACCATATGGGGTCTTTTTTTTTCACGGATGTACTAAAATCACACATAAACAAACATGAAAAAGGCTTAAAAGAAATTTAGACTCCATGCAAAATTTGCTTGTTTCTAGAATGTGATCACTTATTCCATTGACACTTCCATGTTATTTATACAAGAACAGTCCTTATTGCATTGTTTTATGTACAGAAAGCAATAGATGCGCAAGAACATTGAGTTAGGTAGGCCTTACTCATGTATATTTGTGTATACATTTGTATGTCTGTGTCTGTATATATGCAGTTTACAGTACAGTGTATATATATACAGTACTAGTACTGTACTGTTATTGCTTTCAAAATGTTCTGCCACCATTGTGACCACTGTCCGTGAATTGTATTTACAACAGACATAATGAATGTTCCGTTGCTCGTTCCATGGGAACTACTGGCTGTTAAGGCCTGATATTTTTATGTACAGTAGCATAGTGTGTCAGTATAGCGACTATAAGATATATTGCCGGAACAACCGTGGACATCTTCAAGAGAAAACTGGACTGTTTTCTAAAAGAAGTTTCGGATCAGCCGGGCTGTGGTGGGTATGTGGCGCTGTGGGCCGCTCCAAGCAACAGCCTGGTGGACCAAACTCACAAGTCGAGCCTGGCCTCGGGCCGGGCTTGGGGAGTAGAACTCCCAGAACCCCATCAAGTAGAAGACAAGCAGTATGTTTTGGTCCATTATCAGTCAAATGGAGGGATAACGTGTAATACTTTGTTTTGGCAGCCCGATATCAGAAACTGGGTGTTTTGTGTTGATTTAGTTTTTGTGGACATGTTCTTTATTACCAATAATTCATCTTTCTAGGTGTGTGTATGTCTTGTGTTATCCAACAATTTAAGGACTGAAAATATAAGAAATTTCATTCAATATAGCCCCTTAATTTTAATGTGGCTCTAACATTAATAACAGTATTTTTGTAAGCATGCCCCAAGGCACAGTAAACAAAATTATTACTTTTTATTTTATATATCTTTCCAAATTTTTCATGTTTCAATATGTTATTGGAGCATGCAATTTCTTTGATTTTTTTTTTCTGTCCATGGCCCTTACAAGACCCATACAAGGCAGCTCATTTTTATATCGACCTGAACTCGCCCATGTACTGCATATGTCTAGCCTACACTTAAAACAATTCAGCGATCTCATTATTATTTTACCTGGTAGTTTGCTCCATTAATCAACAACCCTGTTTCCAAACCAGTATTTACCCAGGTCTTTCCTGAATCTAAACTTGTTCAATTTATATCCATTGTTTCTGCAGGTGGCTGACCTGAAAAAGGAGCTGAAGTCTCGGGGATTATCAGTAGCTGGAAATAAGACCGAGCTTATTGAGAGATTACAGGAAGCAATAGGAAGTGGTGAGCTGTTTTGGTTTTGTTTATATTGTATGTTAACTTGATTAGGATGCATGCTTAGTTGGAAGGCTTACGAAACTCTTTCATGATTTTTGGTTTCTATTTTAATGTGGTTTAGATTTTTTAAGTTTCTCTGTTCTGTGTTTCTCAAAACATCAGAATTGTATTAAATGTTATGATACAGATGGCAACATGGTAATAATTATCAAAACAAATTTCATAACATATGCATGCCATATTGCAGAGATGTATTTGTAGGTATAGGGGTTGCTAATTAAATAAAGCCACTAATATGCAATACATCTTAGTTTCCTTCAGAAGGTAAACATTGTACTTGTGCTTATCACCAAGTCTTGGGTTGTTTGAGAACCTAGCTTCATCATCCAGCAATGTTTGTTAAATAGTCAAGTGGTTCTGCTTTGTTTGAGATGTCTGTTGTCACACATAGAGATCACAATAACGTGATGCATCAAATGAACAAATCCACAAGGGTCGTGACGAGGATCCTCGTCACGGTCCTTGTGGATTTGTTCATGTCTGTTGTGTGATGATGAAGAGATTCACCAAATTGAAAGTAAATGTTATTGAAGAAGTAGTTTCACCTTATAATTTACAGTACAGTACTTATTTATAGTACTTTATCATTTATTATAATTATTATAGTACAGTACCCTGTATTTTAATTGTATGTTTTTCCCACGAGGAGGGAATGTTGAGCTTGGTCAAGTTGAAGGCGATGACGAGGACTTCGACGAAGAGGAGATCTTAGGTGGAGAAGATATGGATGCTGCGGAGTTGGGGAAATTGACTCCCCAAGAGGAGGAGGCAGCTTTAGGCGGGAACATAAGAGTACGAGATGTATGTAACTTACTTGAGAATGGGCTATTCTTTCTCTAGACTAAAGTTAAAAGTACTGTATATTAGCTTTTTTTAAATAAGTAAAACTCAAATAATTTTACAAAACAAAAAACTCAAAAATACCCTTTTATTTTACTTGGGGCATGTAGCATACTGTATATAGTACTGTAATGATTTTATTTAGTTGAGATACTTAAATTTTTATCATGTCTTTCATTATATAGTATTTCATTATAGAGTGGAAAAGGCATTTTTAGACTAAGGAACAATTTTGAAAACAGAATATTGTCATAAAATCTTTTGGCAAAGTTAAATGATGCAATAGTCTTGTCTGCAAATCTTGGCAAATTACATGTAATTAAAAATATGCAGCTGATTGAAGAAATGCTTATGAAAATTGCTATCTTACGGATATGTAGCTACTTCTGCGGGTGTGCCAATTGGCAAGCCAAAGGTAAATAATCATAAAAGAGACAGTTGTCAAGAAAGCTCCAAATTTGAAGCATTTGTGAATGAGAGAATATTGATGCATCTCTTAGTGTTACATTTTGTCAGCAAGACACAGATAAGACTAGACAAGACAAGTTAAGAAAATGTAGGCACAAACTGGAGAATCTGGGTGGCATGCCATAGCACTGTTAAACTCTGGAAGGTTTAGGGAGTTTTTATGTAATCTACCCGCCAAACACACACCGAAACTGTGACGTTGGTACAACGTTCGAACAAGTTTTTACACCTAACCAGTTATAACAACCAATATAGCAAGTTGTAACAACGTTCTAATACGTCATAAACACGCTAAGCCAAGATGTAACATCTTTATTACAAGTTGTAACAAGCGGAAAATAGAGATAGTTTCGGTTTGTGTTTCCAGGGTATGCAGTAGTAAACGAAGAGGAGGAGGAGGATCTCGTTCTAATGTCTCGTCTCAAAACCAAAGGGGTTATCCTGTTTGTCCTGCAGCAGGTCATATTACCTCAGGTAGACTGCAGCTCATAAATGTGCTTTTAACAAGCAACAACTCATCCCTATGTAGAATTTGAATATGGATATCCATTTTTCATTTTTATTACATCTGTCAAAGATTCTTCTTATTATTTTTCCATATTCATAGCTTTTACACATGATTGTATCCAACCACTTGAATTGTTTGGGAAATATTTGCAGGAATTGATTTATTTATTTGAATTTGAATTTTACTTCAATAATAAACTGGTTACTCAATTGGTTGCTTAGTGGACTGTATTTTGTATAAATCTTTTTGCAAATAAATCCACAATCTTAGGTGACTTGTATTGTAAGTAAGATTAGAATAGAGCATGTTGTTAAATATGAATTTATTACTAATGTTTACTTTATTAATTTAAACTTATCTAATTTAACCTGCTCTGCCCTTGGGTTAGTGAAAACGTTTACAACTCAGCTGTTTAGTAGATATAATCCTATGTTGCCAAGACATCATCAATTAGTAAGGGTTGTCACGTGGACAGTGGCTACAGGTCAGGCTGTGAGGAGCTGCATCCAACAGCCTGGTTGACCACCCAGCAAACAGGAGGCCTAGTCGGGATCCAGGCTGCGGGGATGTTAAGGCCCGAAATCATCGCAAGGTAACCACGTCGTAATATTATCTGGCATCTGGCTTCTCTTGTGTGGAGATCAGTTGAGCCTGCCAATGAGTTATTATGTAGTAAGCAACAAGGCATGACATTAGATTATACAAATGTTTTAAGGGAAATTGGTTACGATGATTGTGTGCTATTTATCATTAGTTAAGAGCATAACCCGTATCACTACAGTCTACTTAGAAAATGGCCAAATTCTACAATTTGGTGAAACCGGAACAACTACTTCCTAGGAATCGACGGGACCAATTCTGGCAGCAATGATAAAGCACCACGATGTTCACACGATTAATGGTGAAGAAAACTCTTGGCTACTACCGCTCTTGTCTATAGTGTTTGCTGGCTGTAACCAAGACAGCTCCCTTCTCCCCAACCCCGTTCATTTACACTTGAATATTTAGTTGAATTTGGGAAAGAAGGAATATTGAGTTGGATTCTTTTAGTCTCGTTAATTAATAATTATACTGTATATTAACCCAAATATTAATTATTAGGATTAAGGGCCTGCCCAAAACACTATGCGTGCTAGTGGCTTTACAAGAATGTAAGAACTCTTGTACGTATATATAAAACAAAAATTTTTGGGATAATTTTAAAACAACTAATACTATCAAAGTTATGTTTGATAGATATTTAATGAAGAATCCATTTTATTAATTCAATTATTAACTCTTTGTAGATGTGGCATACATATATGTCACAGGGATTTCATCATCCCCTTAATTTATCAACGTAATGTAACCAGAATAATTACTCATAATTATTCTGGTTTAAGGTTACAAATAAATTGTAATTAGATGTAATTAATTGTAAGACACAAACAGAAGACGAATCTTCATTGTGATTAAATAATTTAAATTGTATGCACAAAAATATATGTATAGGTGGGAGAAATTTCCCAAAAGTTGGGTCAGTATGGGGATGACCTCGTTTCTTGCAGAGTTGGCATTCAATCCCCGATGGTCCAAGAGGTTTGACACTGTTCCGTCCCTGTCCTCACATCCCAGCTCTTTGTCCTTGCATTCCTTTTGTATGCTGTGTAGTCATTTTGGGCCGAGTGCTTGCTCCTAGTAATAATTTTTTTGTTGCAGTTTTGTTCTGTACTTTGCCTTCTCACAATGTTATTCCTCAGTAATTTTGAATGATTCAATGATTTCAGGAGGCGGCTCTTTTGGAACAGCCCGAGAAGAAGAAGATAAGCCTGAAGAGGTCCGCGCCACCGTTAGAGCCGCCTCCCACCACGGTAGTGGAAGCGGCGGAGACAGAGAATGAACCTCCAGCTAGCCAGGAAGAAGAAAAAGGGCCAGATGAGAGTGCCTCGGCCAAGAAAATCATCAAACTTGACAGTGGCAGCGAAAAAAATGTGAGCATTATCTTGGGTATAAACATGACGGATAGGAATCTACGTGTGCAAAAAAAAAAAAACAATCACAAGAATATAATGTATCTGAGAAAATATTGGTGGGATCAAACATGCATCCCTGACTTTCCCAGGGATTTTTAAATTCTCAGGAATTTACAAGTTTTGTAGACAGTTATTCAATCTTTTTCTCCAATGGCTAAAATACACAGTTATTTATATGCTTGTTCCGAACAACCCTGGTATACTTCTACAACATTTGTATACTTCTACAACTCTGGTATACTCCTTCAACCTTGGTGTATGCCTGCAACTGTCATATATTACACCCTTGGTATACTACAATAGTCCTGAGGGGCCAGACTCATGACGCAGTTACGCAAGCACTTACGAACCTGTACATCTTTTCTCAATCTTTGGCGGCTTTGTTTACAATTATTAAACAGTTAATGAGCTCCGAAGCACCAGGAGGCTGTTTATAACAATAACAACAGTTGATTGGCAAGTTTTCATGCTTGTAAACTGTTTAATAAATGTAACCAAAGCCTTCAAAGATTTGAGGAAAGATGTACACGTTCGTAAGTGCTTGTGTAACTGCTTCGTGAATTTGGCCCCTGGTATACTACAACCCTAGTATAATCCTATAACCCTAGTATACTCTTGCAACCCTGGTATATTAGGGTGGAGTGATAATTGAACTGAAAAAAGTGTAGCTCATATTCCCTGACATATATGGCAAAAGTTAGAAAAAATATATTTTGGGTGTTTGCCACCATTTTTGGGCTGGCAATTGTTCCGAACATGTCCAGAGGGATGGGGGGGGGGGTAAAAATTGGCAGGATGGCCATAACCTACCAACTGCTGGTGCTAGAGGCATGATTTATGGCTCAAAATTTGCAGATTCCTTGTGTTTCTATATGTCTTAAGAGGAATGTTATCTCTACTTGTGCAAAGTAAAGAGTTATTAGCTAAAAATAGTTTTGGTGGGTATTGGCATGGGTCAAAATCCACCTTTGAATCTTGATTTCTTTATTATTATTATTTTGATTTATTTGTGTAAATTTAAATTATATTTGAAATTAAGTTTTCAATATAACCATAACAAATATACTTTGCTTGAAGAGCAGTGTTCTGTAGTTGAGGAACCAAGTGAATATTACCTTGCTTACTTTTCTCCTGATGATAGTAAGGGCAGAACTATTGCAAGAACTGTTTAATTCCCTGAAGGGCACTGAATTACACAAAAATCTTGCAATTGTTGGTACTGACGGTTCTGCATCTATGTGACTGGCCAGTATGGTGGGTGCATGCGAGACTCAGAAGAGTTGTTACGTAAGCAACTCCAGTAGTTTATTTGCCTTCTAATTACCAACGCAATTCTGTTGCGTCGTGTGTGTAATTACCTAAGTGTAGTTACAGGATGAGAGCTACGCTCGTGGTGTCCCGTCTTCCTAGCACTCTTTGTCATATAACGCTTTGAAACTACTGACGGTCTTGGCCTCCACCACCTTCTCACCTAACTTGTTCCAACCGTCGACCACTCTGTTTGCGAAAGTGAATTTTCTTATATTTCTTCGGCATCTGTGTTTAGCTAGTTTAAATCTATGACCTCTTGTTCTTAAAGTTCCAGGTCTCAGGAAATCTTCCCTATCGATTTTATCAATTCCTGTTACTATTTTGTATGTAGTGATCATATCACCTCTTTTTCTTCTGTCTTGTAGTTTTGGCATATTTAATGCCTCCAACCTCTCCTCATAGCTCTTGCCCTTCAGTTCTGGGAGCCACTTAGTAGCCTGTCTTTGCACCTTTTCCAGTTTGTTGATGTGCTTCTTAAGATATGGGCACCACAGAACCGCTGCATATTCTAGCTTTGGCCTAACAAAAGTCGTGAATAATTTCTTTAGTATATCGCCATCCATGTATTTAAAAGTAGTTCTGAAGTTAGAAAGCGTGGCATAGGCTCCTCGCCTATGCCACGCCTATGTGTGTGTGTGACTCTTGATGGAACCACAAATACTCCCGACTCATTCATAGGACATATCGGGTTGTTTGAGTGGAGATGTGTCACATTTACTCAGTTCAATTTTTGTTTTGCTCCACTTAATTTTTGTTTGAGTGGAGATGTCATGTTTGCTCAATTCAAGCAAGTATCAAACCTCCATTTTCCAGAGCTGCTCAGTCTGTTGTTGACCTGAGGTAGGTCAACAACAGACTGAGCAGCAGTATCAGTATCAACAAACAGCAACAGCAGTATCAACAGACTTGTTGATACTCAGAGTTCAGGTCAATGCCAAACATATCCTATAAGTACTATGCTTACAAAATATGTTAAGCAATTATTTTGGGAACAGTGGACAGTGATCTGCAATATCTGGAGGTTGGTCCTATTGTACATTCACAGTAGTTAACCCTGGCTGCAGAATCCTTCAATTCTGTGTGTCGGATAAACCGTCATCAAACCTGGCATCTCGGGTGCAATTCTGCTTTCAAGTGTATTTTTCCCAACTTTGCTTGAAATTAAATCAACAGCTAGTTAATGTGTGCATCAAATCACGTTTTCAATATGATTCAAATAATTACTCAGTTGTCAAATAATGTTGTGCGGAAACAGCGTTTAAAGTAAGAGAGATCCTACTACCTTTTCTGAAGGTGTGCAAAAAAAAGTGCATATTTTTGCACACCTAGAAAATGTCTTAGTTGGAGTGTTGGACGAGAGCGATGAAGAAATATAAACGTTGGGTGTGCTCAAGTACTTTCAGTACGGGGAAAATTTCCATCATTTACTCTGCCTCATGCAAATTTTAAGGGTGGATTTGTTGATATTGATGACAAGGAAGATTCTTTTGGAGTGTGAGAAAACATTAATGTATGGCAATTCCATCTACCAGCATTATTACACTGGATGGCAAAATGTTACCATAACTTGGTTGGTGTAAATTTTTGTCATCAACAGCCTCCAGCCAATCGGTTGCTTGACAGGTTTCGATATAGAGGAGTCGGGAATAAAACCTTTGCACTTCACTCATCCATGTCACAACCAGTCTGTTGAGAGACATGATAAGGTGGTGACTGCGTCGTCAGCGCACGTTGCTGATTTTGAAAAAGAGACGCTTTGAGATGTCAAAAGATTAACTTCCCACTAGATTATGAAAACCCTTGATACAACAATGCCATTTTTATAAGCTCCAGTCAGTGGAAAGATGGCTAGACATCTATACCGATTTTAAAGGGCAGATGAACTTCTTGCATTGACCATCTGGCAAACAGTTTTTAGGCCTCCTGGGAATGGTTGTGGTGGAACAGAAACAATGTTCCACAAATAACTATCCCATGAACTATCTACCATTTACTATCTAACTATTAACATTAACTACCAAATAACTATCCCTGGCCTCGGGACGGGCTTGGGGAGTAGAAGAACTCCCAGAACCCCATCAAGCAGGTATTTTACTTTTTAAATTCTCAACAAAATGTAAATAAATGAGGTGGTGGTGAGGAAATGTTACTCATACAGAGTAGGTGAATAAAATTATGATGGATGATATCGCCTACTAATGGAAGATGATTTTTGCCACTTTCACCACTGTCAGTCCCACTCCCCCCACCCCACCCCCCAAATTGTTTTTTTGCCAATAAATTTTTTCTTGCTCAAATAGACATGTTCCTTGTTAGACATACTGTATAGAGACATGAGTATTCTGCAAATTTTGAGCCATAAATCATGTCTCTAGCATCAGCAGTTGATTAGTTATGAAAATCATGGCCATTTTGAGCCCTTGTGGAAGAGTTCAGAGCAGTGTTCAGTTCAGAAATGGTGGCAAACACACAATTTTTTTTCCATCTTTTGGCATAATTGTCAGGGATTAAGTACTCTTTTATTTATTTATTTATTTATTTATTTATTTATTTATTTATTTATTTATTTATTTATTTATTTATTTATTTATTTATTTATTTATTTATTTAAGAAAAGGTCATTTTTCACTATCCTACAGATATACTCTTACAACCCTAGTGTATTCCTGCAGCCCTGGTATACTCCTCCAACCATGGTATACCCTTGCAAGGCTGGATAAATCCTGTTAAAGTCAAACCAATTACTCATTGATTCATTAACTATTGCACATGTTCTTTGCTATATATATAAATTATGTTTGTTTTTAGTAGAATTCTACCAGTCGTGTGCGCATCATTTCCCAAGCATACCGTTCTATCAGCTTTGTTGTAGTCTTTCTTAAATTTCTAAAGAACATGAGGATCTTGAGATCATTCTCATATGCAGCCTCTACCATGTTCGTTTTGAAATCCTTTTCACATACATCCTCTACCACCATATCTTGCAATTTCACATGCCGCCTCTGTCATGATCATCTTGAAATCATTTTCACATGCATCCTCTACCATGACCATCTTGAAATCATTTTCACATGCATCCTCTACCATGTCCATCTTGAAATCATTTTCACATGCATCCTCTACCATGACCATCTTGAAATTATGTTCACATGCATCCTCTACCATGTCCATCTTGAAATAATTTCTTCCCTATAACTCAATCTACACATGAAAAGAAATTGTGACGTTGTTTCGGTCGGTCCTGGATAAGGGTCCAGGTGGAGCAAAGTGTCGTCACATTTCAGATGTATGGGTTGGGATATTAGTTTCAGCCTCATTATGGTGACCTGGGGCCAGATTCAAGAAAGCACTTACGCAAGCACTTACGAACATGTACATCTTTCCTCAATATTTGACGGCTTTGGTTACATTTATTAAACAGTTTACAAGTATGAAAACTTGCCAATCAACTGTTGTTATTGTTATAAACATCCTGGTGCTTCGGAGCTCATTAACTGTTTAATAATTGCAAACAAAGTCGACAAAGATTGAGAAAAGATGTACAGGTTAGTAAGTGCTTGCGTAAGTGCTTTCGTGAATCTGGCCCCTGTTCTCTACATTTATTCCATTATCCCACTTTTTGTTATATATTTATCTTACTCTCAGTGGTAGGAAAAAGGCCTCTGGTAGGTAAAAGTAGTAGTAGTAGTTAGTATGATTGGGGCAGTTATTATATACCAACCCAGCCTCCTGTTTTGGTAGCACTTATACAGTATTAATGATGAGGACCATATTATATATACTACCATACAACAAAATTAGAAAGTAGAAATCTGAACTATTAAGTTTGACAAACTGGAAAACTATTTTTTACTTGTGTTGCTTTGACAGACTAGACTAACCTAACCTCCCTAGGCCTAATGCATGATATCTGAGGCCTAATATAGTACATATGTGTGCTATACTAGGCCTAGGAATATTTAAGTTTGTGTTTTAGCTTCATTTATTTTAAATGAATTATTTACAGTACTAGTCAGTATACTATTATCTTATAGCAAAGTACGTACGAATTAGTGACTATTGACGAGTGTCACAATAGGTTCAGTACTATCTAAACAGGAGGATGACACAGAGATCACACTTAACGTGATGCATCAAATGAACAAATCCATAAGTGCCGTGACGAGGATTCGAACCTGCGTCCGGGATGCACTGCGTTAGGCAGTGTCTGGGATGCTCCCGGACACAGGTTCGAATCCTCGTCACGGCCCTTGTGGATTTGTTCAGGAGGATGAGTTGTATATACAGACACTTTTTCTTGGATGCTAAGAATACCAATCTCCTCATGGTTCTGACATCCAGCCATTTTACCCTTTTTCTTAGATATGGGGACCACTGGCCTTTGTTGAGTTGCATGGCACCCCACTTGCCCGCCATGCCATCTGACATCTAATGTTATGTATACCATAACCTCTTCCCCCATCTTTAATGTATTCATAACTTCTCTAATTTTGCCCATTGTCTATATTCTGTTCTACTGGTCTTCTTCATATGTTCATTTTGAAAAAAATATTAATTTTTTTTTTTTACTAGTTGTAAATGACAGATTCTTATTCACTCCTTTTAGTAATACAGTACCGTGCAATAGACTCTTGTATTGTCTCTAATTTTTGTCCATTTAAGCACTTGTCACACACTTGCTCTAATTGGAACACTCATCTCCCACTTAACTTAATTTTTTACAACTCAGCAAAACCTGTGGTGGCGTGCACTGCCACAGACATTCTTCTCTTCATTCTTCTCTGCCACATCTTTTATATGTATCTATAGATTCATCACATCTTTTACATGTATCTGTAGCTTCTTCACATCTTTTACATCTGTCTATAGCTTCATCACATCTTTTACATCTGTCTATAGCCTCATCACATTTTTTACATCCTATCTATAGATTCATTAGCAAATTCTCTTGCTCCATTTTGTCTTCCTGCCTTTGTCTTTTATGCATGGTTGAATCTATGCTCCAAGAAAGCTTTTGATAGAAATGAACCTCTCTTAGGGTGGTCATCTACTAAGACAACTTCATTTCCATTTACACTTGTCAAACATCCATTTTCCTAAACTTTCTGCATTGTTAGTTTTTTTTTTTTATAATTATTTCAAGTGCATAGTAAGGGAATTCTATCTGCTGTGAACAATACCTGCCATAAATTACATATTTAAATTTATTAGAGAAGATAATTTAATAATTAAGTATTGATGTGTGCATTTTTGTTGAATTTCTAAAAAGTAATTTTATTGATAAATGTATTGTTGTACAAACAGGCAATTGAAACAAGAGCCGAGAGATTTGGCATTCCAATGACGGAGGAAGCAAGAAGGTTAGCCCGTGCAGCCCGCTTTGGCACTGCCACAAATGGGGCGACAGTTAATAAGAAACCGGCCAAGCTTTCTATGGAGACAGGGGTAAGACTTCCTCAAACTTGTATTGAATTTTTTGCACATAGTTAAATAAAAGTAGGCTTTTGGAGGTGTAAAGCTTAAATTTTAATTGGTGGAAATGAGTTAAACTAATACTGACTGCTGTCATTTATCAGGATTATATGGGAAGGATCCCTCGCTAGATAAGCAGGAATCCTTACCAGGAAAGTCCTGGAATGAATTACCAGGAATGAACATATTCAGAATTTGTTGTACCACAACCTATATAAATCTTATTTCTACACACTAAATTTAAAGAATTTGGTTACAAGAGAAATTTCAGCTTGTTGTAGTTCATTTGCTTGGATGATGGTATTGGGAATGTTTAATTACGTACCTTGAGGTTACCTATCTATCTAGCCTATCTATCGGGGCCTGTCGGCTGATTGGACAGCGCTCGGGATTCGTAGTCCTATAGTTCCGGGTTCTATCCCCGGCAGAGGTGGAAACAAGTGGGCAGAGTTTCTTTCACCCTAATGCTTCTTTTCACCTAGCAGTAAATAGGTACCTGGGAGTAAAGACAGTTGCTACGGGCTGCTTCCTGGGGGTGTGTAACAAAAAGAAAGCCTGGTCGAGGACCAGGCCGCGGGGACGCTAAGCCCCGAAATCATCTCAAGATAATCTCTCAAGATACCTTGAGATGATTTTGGAGTGTTTTATCCCCCTTGGCCCGGTCATCGACCAGGCCTCCTGGTTGCTGGATGGATCAACCAGGATGTTGGACACGGCTGCTCGCAGCCTGATGTATGAGTCACAACCTGGTTGATCCGGTATCCCTGACATAGCATAACCTAACTTAACACACCACTAAAATTACTGTACATGAGCTTGGCAAGGTCACCTTTGACTGTCAGCTGCCAAAGCATCACTGGTTGAAGGGCCTTGGCTTGGTGTTCTTACCAAATAAGAATAAAATTTTGCTTGCCTCCTGTGTTCATTGGTCTCTCTTATGATCATTTGAAAGGTGATCAGCTGAGGTGATCTGTCTCTTCGAAAAAGAGATAGAGCGTTGGCCTCACACGCGTGGGGTCCAGGGTTCGAGGCCCATTTACCCCAGGTAAATGGAATCAGCTCTTTGGTTTGCTTCAAGTACTGGTACATATTTCCAGCTTCTGGATTAATTAGTACAGTTGGAAGAAAAATTAATAAGCATATCAACAGAAGACATGAGTAAACTGTATTTAGTTGTCATGTTGATCCCTCATCGTCATTGTCGTCCTCTTCATCCACCTCACTACAAACAGCCTCGAGAAATTCTTTGTGCTTCATACCTTTTCCTAGGTCATCAGCATCTCTTTCTAGCCATTGAACCACATCTTGTTTTCCTAAATTTTCACAGCATATCAAAACTTTTTACAGATTTCATTTCTATGAAATCTTTCATAACATTTTATTCTTCCTCTTCATTCACTGTAACTGTGAGCATTTTTTTCCATGAATTCTTCAAAGTCGATTTTTTTACTTCACACTATGGCTCAGTTGTTAATGGCCTTTCTAATCTTCTTCGAGAGATAAAAACCACCAAAACTTCATTGAGCATATTTTTAGTGTACAAAATGTCAGTGGCACAGATAACGCCCTGATCCATGGGCTAGATGAGAGAGGTAGTATTAGGAGGAAGTGCCGTATGGTTCCATCATGTGACATTAAGGTCCCAACATGGGTGTGAGCAGTTGCTTTATCAAGCAAGAGCATGGTCCTAACTTTGCTTGGGCTCATTTTGTATTTTTTGATTTAATGGTCATGCACTTCCTTGCAAAACACATCGTAAAACCAAAATGGAATGCTGCTTCCGGCTCTCGAACGTCTGAGGGTTTTGGAGTCAGGGCGGGGTATAGCTCGGGATGAGATTCGGGTGGCTTTGGGGGCTGCCCCTTCCGGTTCAGACGTGGAAGTGGTTGAGTTCAATTTTTCCACCGAGGTTGCTGGGGTCAACCCAGCAGACTCCCTTCTTGGAAACTTTTCCCCTGGATGCCGCCTTTTCTTCAGGGGATGGTGGGCTTGGAAAAGTGCTCTTCCCCAGGGCCTGTGTTGAGCCCTTGTGACTTCTGGGCAGGGGTTGTTGCTGCAAGGGAGGGTTTTTTTTATCTCCTCTTTCTGGATTAGTTTTACCAGCATTATTTATGCACCCTCGCATCAGGCGTGTCCATCTTTTGCTTGAAAATTTTGTCCAGGGGGGGGGATAAAAAATACTAGTATATGTATTAATATAACGACTTTTTCGTTTGGTTCATCATACATTTATTGCACATTTTCTGCTTCTTTTGGTATCCCTGCTCTTTCTGTCGTGCATATTTTTGGCAAGAATCTTGCTCTACAGTTTGAGTTGCAGCAACTGGCCGTTATGGCGGTGCTCCGGTCGTGGCGCACCTTCCAACAACTGTGGTTTGTTGTCATTTGCTCTTTGCATATGGCGGCTGGGTAGTTGAAACTTTATCATTCTTTTCCTTCTTATTGGGGCATTTTTCATTTAGTTAATGCGCTCTTGTTCTTACCAGTGACCCTGTCGTTCACTTTTGTGTGACATGTCTCAGGTGTGGGTTATGTCTGCTATGAAAGGGGTGGGGAGGTTCGTGAATTGGTGCGTGTTTCCCGCATCACTGCCGAGGTGTCATCAGTAATTTTGGTAAGTTTGTACTCGTCCCTTTGTACTCTTCTAGTTGTGCTTGCAGGGGTTGCGCTTCGGCTCTTCAGGCCCGCCTCTCGTCTGTCATTCTACTGGTGGGCACATTTCTGAACCTCTTGAGCCCCTGCATTTCTACGTTTGCACCCTCCACCTCATCACTGCCTCCTGCATTCCCTTTCCTTACTACTCTGCCTCTGGACAAGTTCTTTTTCATATCTCTGTTGCTCTTTTGGGTACTCGATTACCTCCTGTTGTAACACGGGGGGGGTTCTTGTGTTCTCTTCTTCCCCTTTCTTTCTCTGCCCGTATTTTAACTCTGTTCTCTCTACCAAGGGACCCCAAAACTTTCACTTTAGCCGACCCCACGCCACGTGGTCTTAAGACGATTGACCGACTTAAGATTCTACAACCCGTATGACGTAACATAGGCTTCTCGCAAAACCCTAGGGTCGCTTTTTTGCTGCCACCACCAGACCTGCAACTCTGAGCAATGATCGAGGTCTGGATCGATCATGCTAATCAATAACTTTGGGGCTTGATCCCTACTAGTAACATATAATCTTGGATCTTAAGTGTGGAATTAAAAATCAACGGGAATGATAATTCTGATTCGGTGTTAGAATCGGTTCCAATTCAACTCGGCCTCGTGGGGACCACGTGACAAGGACATGAGAATGGAAACAATGAAATGGAAAATAATAAAAACGCAAATTACTAGCTAAATGGTTTATTAAAAAAAATGAAACAAAATCTAAATAAATGGCACTCCCTGTCAATTAACACTCCCTGACTTTACATTTGAGGCAATGAGTTGGCCTATTCCCTATCTAAAACCTCTGAGCAACTTTACCTTGGGCGACCAGCTAGTTGTTGGTGCTGTCTTGGGGCCGATGATGGAGGCCACCTGCCCGAATTGCTCCTGATCCCACACTGTCCTCCTGCTCGGCTAGTCCTACCCCGACCAGAGCAGTGTATTGTTGCGTCTAGTATCTAAGTTACTTGCAAGGCTTAAGTTTAACAATTAACCTCTGTTGCACTGAATGATCCAGATTGGTTGAATTATTTTAACTGAAGTTAAATTACGCAAGCATCTTAAGGAAGAGCTATTCCCGATCACAAAATGGCTGTTTAACCTTTGAGAATTACTGAATGTGGAACCTCTGTTGTCCTGTGACCACCAGGTCGACGAGGTCACTCCGCGCTACAGCATAGTCCTGGCTCGTGACGTCACTGATGGTGACTTAACTCATTCTCCTAATAATTAGAATACTCTTGATACTATAACCAAGAATATTATACAATACAATTTTAATACAAAATGAATAAAGTCTAATTTCTCTAAATTACTGAATACTATAGAATGATTCATTATACGAAACTTGTGAACAAAGGCGCCAGTTATTTTCACCGTCAATTCCCCCAGGTCACCACGTGGGTCCAGCTTCCCATTCTCCCATGTGTAGATAACCATTCTGGATACTTCTTACAACAAACCTAGTTTGTTACACTGTGCCCCATTATTCATGAACTAATTGTATTGTTTCATCCATTTTCTCCTACCCTGTCCGTTCCACTGGTGAATTGTCGGTGGTGGTCATGTCTCCCAGTCTTGTGTTCCCAGGGCAGTCTTGTCTTGTGTACAAGACTGTGGTCCATCTGTATATTATTACCCCAGTCTTGTGGTCATTGGCTTGTTTTCTTTATTTTATGGGCACCGATTTTGTGCCTGGCGACCTTGCCCTGTATGCTCATCCGGCTCCCAAGCCTATGGCCCTCGGTATTAGCTTTAATACCGAGTCTGTATTATAGCCGTTTTAGCCGTGTTTTATCCCCCCCCCCCCCCCCCCCAAAAAAAAATAACATTGTGCGTCTCATCTGCCGGCAAATGTGGTAGGTGGGGCTCTCCCCAGGTTCATTTCCAGGTGCCCTTGGGTTCCTCAGATTCATCTTTTCGGAGGTTTTCTTCCTCTTGGATTTGTCTTGCAGAGGCTCGGGGGACCCTTGGCGCGTACCTCATGCGTGACCCAGTTACGCCTCTGTGTTGGATCCGGTTTTGTTTGGGTACAGTTCCTCTTACACTGTATGTAAGAGGTTCTTACACACATTTCGAGGTTCCGGTGTCTTCCTGGCTGGCAGCCTGCCTCGACGACTGGTTGGTGTGGGCATCCTGCTGGACTGCTTGTCTGCTTGCTGGGGTTCATTGCTTTTTTATTTGGTTTTGAGTACCCTTAATTTTATTATATTGGTCAAGTAATTGCAGAACACAAGATCTTCATGCTGTAAAGCCTTGTTGACTTGCATTTATACCTGGAGCATACCTGTTGAGGGTTCAAGAGTATAGTACAGTACATGCCCAATCAGTATTGAACCAATATTGGGTAAATACTGGTTCAGTAACAGGGTTGTTGATTTGTGGAACCAATTACCGCGTAACGTGGTGGAGGTGGGGTCCTTCGATTTTTTCAAGCGCGGGTTGGACAAGTATATGAGTGGGATTGGGTGGTTATAAATAGGAGCTGCCTCGTATGGGCCAATAGGCCTTCTGCAGTTGCCTTTGTTCTTATGTTCTTATGTTCTTAATCAAATCACAAGAATGGGATGTATTTCATACAGTTCAGGATTAATGAGCATTCTAGACATTCAACACAAAATCAGTTTTTTCTAATCATAGGGATGTAATGGAGGATGGGGATCAATTTAAAGACTTCAGGCCAGGATGAAACATTGTAATGCACTTAAAAATGTTAAGCATCGAGAACCAGTTGGTTGTAGATAGGCTGATATGTGAACATCCAGTAATTCATTCCATTTTTGTATTTTACAGCATTCAGTAAAATATTTCAGAATAGTGGATACCCATTATTAGGAAATTTTACTGCTCTATGATTGCAATTTTGTAAGCTGTTACCTTTGGTTATTACAGGGTACAGATGTAGAAAAGCTCAAGGCTCGTGCTGAAAGATTTGGAGAAGTTACTTCAAAGTCATTAGCAAAGGTAAGTGTTATATTGTTATACTGTTCTGTCCGATCATTTAATTCTTATATGAATCAGAGAGTGAGTAAATAATGCTCTTTAATTTTCATCAGGTTCTGTTTGAGCACATTGGGTTATACATTTTATGTGTAAATCTTAACCCTTGAGGTGCACTCAATAATTTTTTTCCTAGTCTGTAATAGTATATCAGTGTAATAGCTTCAGGGAGCCAGTGAGGCTCACCCAGAAATCTTTGTTTCATTACATTCAATGTGGGATTTTTTATTAATCGGCAGAAAATAACATGATATTTAATAGTAATAAATTCCAGGTACAGTACAGTACTTTGGTACGGTAAAAATGAAGACCTTAAACAAAATGCAGGGTACAAAACACCATTAAATCTGCCCATAGTAGGAAAGCAACATGTAATGGATCTGGGAATAATGATGTCTGATGACCTAATATTCAGGAAGCATAACCAAGCTAAAATAGTTAGAGAAATGATAGAATGGATTGCAAGACCCTTCAAATCCAGGGATCCCATCACAATGTTGATACTATTCAAATCACAGGTGCTGTCCCACCTTGAGTATCGCACGATACTCGCTTTCCTCTTCAGAGTAGAAGAGTACTGAAATACAGGGAATACAGTGAACATATACATCATACATAGACACAATAAATTACCTTAATTATTAGGATCATCTCAAAGCTCTCAAAATGTACTCTAAAAAGGAGACGAGAGATGTATCTAATATTATATGCATGCAAAATAATGTAGGGCCAAGTCACAAATTTACACAGTAAAATAACAGCCTACTGAAGTAAACGATATGGAATGAAATGCAGAATGGAGCCAGTAAAGAGTAGAGGTGCCATAGGCACAGTCGGAGAACACTGTATGAACACCAGAGGTCCACATTTGTTCAAGTATAAGAAATATCTAGGGAACAAAAGTGGAAGTCTTAAAGAAAAAACAACACTTTCCTGCAAGAAGTGCTGGACTAACCAGGCAGTAGTGGGTATATGCTCCAAGCAACAACCTATTGGACCAAACTCTCACAAGTCAAGCCTGGCCCCAGGCCGGGCTTGGGGAGTAGAAAAACTTCCAGAACCTCATCCAGGTTCAGAATTATCTACATTTTCATGCACAATTACTAGTCACTAATCGTTTCTGGCAAGTGTAATAATTTTATAACTGGTTATCAGAGTTCAGCCTAGTCACTCATACTTTCCATTAAATTCTAACAGCACGCATTGAATATATAATATTTTCTTCATATTTTGAGTGTTTGTACTGTGGTTTTTCAAGTAAGAAGTTGCATTAGGCTGTCAATAATACTATTTGTGTCATAGATTAGAATGTGTAGAATATTGGTACAGAGATTCATTCAGTATTGGTATTCAGTTCACTTATATGAATTAAATATTATATTCTTTGAACAATAAAACACATTTTTTGCTGTTATTATACTATATACACACTCCTTATATATAACTGTCTACATTTTTGTGCATCATTATGAACCACTAAGATGGCCTGGTGGGGCCAAACAACATAGAGTTTACACTCTAGTTTACTGCACATTTCGTTATTTTTAAGTGATGCTGTGGACATAAGCTGAGCAACAGTGTTGTTAGCTTGTGCTGCACCCGCAAGCCTTGGTTGCTCACCGAGTACCGAGACCCTCACACCCAGGAATGATGTCAATTTTTTTTTATTCAAAATGGAGTGTGTTTATTGGAGGCCTGAGAAAGCTGATGTAAGCTTCATGTACCAATGGGAGTTTTAAAATCTTATGCTGTACCCTAATATTTCTCCTGAGGGGATGAGCATTTTGCCGGTAAGTAGCCATCCCATCTCTCGATGGGATGAACAGTGGAAGGGTTAAACAAAATTCTTGGAGAATGATATACATTTTGCCATATTCATATTCAAACTGGCCTCTCGAATAGTACATCGCATTTTGACATAAATCCCCAAGAGCCAAAATATGATGTACTATAAATCATAGCTGGTTGAAGAATTAAGGGGGCTGTCCTGTTTTTTATTTGTGGGTCCTCAGGTTAAAGATCAGAAGCAGATGACCAATGAATACACACTGAAAAAGTTTAGATTTTGAAGAGGCCTACAGAAATGCTGGTTTGGAAATAGGGTTGTTGATTCCTGGAACAGATTACTAGGTAACATAATAGACTTTGGATCGTCGGATTGTTTAAGCATAGGTTAGATGTATACACAAGAAAGTTTGGGTGAATATAAATAAATCACCTTGGATGGGCTTATCTTGAGGTTATCTTGAGATGATTTTGGGGCTTTTAGTGTCCCCGCGGCCCGGTCCTCGACTAGGCCTCCACCCCCAGGAAGCAGCCCGTGACAGCTGAATAACACCCAGGTACCTATTTTACTGCAAGGTAACAGGGGCATAGGGTGAAAGAAACTCTGCCCATTGTTTCTCGCCGGCGCCTGGGATCGAACCCGGGACCACAGGATCACAAGTCCAGCGTGCTGTCCGCTCGGCCAACTGGCTCCCGTAGTAGAGGTCAGTAGACTTTTGGCTTATTCCTCTATTTTGTGTTTTTAACTCGTGTTTACAAGCTAGAAGATCTTCCTCTTACACCCTAACTTGCATCTTGCCGGGCTCGGGAAGTAGAAGAACTTGAGACCCTCCCCAGGTAAGATCATATTTGTGACATGGCAACTGGAGAGGACAGCCTGTTATATCAGCTGCCTAATGCTAACATGCAAAACTATCTAAAGATAGTACATATCTTGATTTTTTTTCTATTTTATCATATCTTGGGGATGTTTTCTTATATAGACCAATCTTGCTCATATTTCAACAAGTGATATATGAGGTATGAATTAAACTGTTATAGTAATACAAATATGAAAGCTAATTTTAACTCATTGAAGATCGTTATTATTGCGGCTAATGATATTACAGTGCTTGTCAGTTACTGGATGAGTCTATTCTGTTTGGTGTTTTCTGCATCATTGTCAGCACTTTGTGAATTTTTTAGACATTTGAGAATGTCACTAGCTTACCTCTATTCAAATAATTTTGGTAAGTGTTGCATTGATCAATTCAAATAATTGTTATAACCGTTTCATTGATCAAAGAATTTGTAATTGTTGCATTGATCAATTGGAAACATTTTGATAATTTCTGCATTAATAACATCAAAGAATTTTGATCATTTCTGCATTGATCATTTCATTTTTACAGGTGTCTGAACTTGAAAAGCTAAAAGTTAGGCAGGAGAGGTTTACCGCAGCAGCGGCAGCAGCAGTAGCAACAACAGGAGGAGAAGCAGGAGAAGCAGAGGAGACCAAGACGGCAGCAGAGGAGACCAAGACGGCAGTAGAGGAGACCAAGACTACAACAGAAAAGACCTTGATGTGAGTATCATTTAAATTGATCATCTTTCAGGCCAGGACTCGTCAAACATTGATGCAACCGGTCGTAAAACCTGTGCATCTTTCCTGAATCGTGGCAGCTTTGTTTACGTTTAATAAACAATTTACAAGTGTCAAAGCATCACAGTACAAAGTAAACTCAGAAACTGTTTAATGTAAACAAAGCCACTGTGATTGAGGAAGAACTCGCAGGTTTCGTAAGTGGTTGATTGTAGAATCCCAGATTAGCATTACATTCCACATGTCTGACTCGGCCATCTAATTTTGTTACCAAGTATGCCTATGCTTTAGGTCTTATGAACTGGGTATCAATATCAGAGGAGAATGATTTTTTTTTTTTTTTTCATGAGCTAATTGATTGGTATTGAATTAGTGTGTGGATTGATTTATTTGCTATGAATGCAAGGGCATTGATATCTCTTAAGATTATTAATATTTTATTTTATTTTATTTTATGCTGAAGAGGTTAGAAGCAGAGGACCAATGTGGTACAAAATGAATACATTTAAATATAGAAAAAGCCTAGGAAAATGCTGGTTTGGATGTAGGGTTGTTGATTCCTGGAACAGATTACTAGGTAACATAATAGACTTGGGATCGTTGGATTGTTTAAGCATAGGTTAGATATATACACGAGTAAGTTTGGGTGGATATACATTCGTTGCCTTGCACGGGGTCAGTAGACTTTTGGCTGTTTACTCTTTTTTTTATCTTTTTAACTCGTGTTTACAAGCTAGAAGATCTCTCTCTTGCACCCTAACTTGTGTCTTGCTATTCTAGTGTTTCCCAGTTCACTTTTTTGTTAATTGCTTTGCAAAAGACAAATTTATGACATAATAGGAATAGAGAACCGTAGCATATACGTGACTTGTTCACAGAGAGACTGAGAAGTGTATCAGTCTGTTGGATAGTTGAATACTCTTTGGAGACTTAGGAGAGTGCAGGTGAAAGTGAATGCAACTAAAGTAAATAAATGATAATGGAGAGAGAAAAGAGTTCTGCAAACAATTTATTGTAGATAAGAAAAAAGAAATACGGTTGTGCAGAAGACATGACAGAAATGTTCCAAAATTCACGTGTGTCCATGTCTCATGTTCGAACATCATCTAGTATGTAATATTTGAAATAAAATAAATCACACTACTGTATAGTCTTCAGTAAGATTTAAATTGCCTAAATGTTTCTAAAATAGCAAGAGTAAATAACAATATAATTTCTCAAAGATCTCCATAATGTCTTCTTCAGTGAAAGCACATATCATCTACACTCTGTAAGAATAGGTCTAGTGAAGATATGAGAATACATGTCATGCTGAGACTGTGGGAAGCTAAAGAGAAGATGGTTGTGCATATAGGCTGTGTGACCTATACAGGTCCTGGTCTGAATCTTTGTGGTAAAGGTGGCTAGGGAAGGATAGTTGGTTTAAATGCGTTGTTTATTAGGGCAAAGTTATTCGTATCCAGATAGTTGTTGATTACAAGACATCAGCACAGAAAATGTATAGTATCTGCAACGTATATACAATCAAAACCACAAAAATGCTAGGAACTCTGAGAGTTCTGTACTCTTAAAAACAAAAACTGAAATATGAGAGGGATTCAATATTCTCTGTCCTGCATGAGAATCAAACCCAGTCCCTTTTGATTGTTAACCAACTGCATTGCCGCTTCCCAGCTTGGTGCCTTATTTTGATAATTGTTGCCTTGAGCACTGCGCTGCAGGCTGGATAGATTTAAATGCAAATGGGTGGGCAATTTTAGCTAATAGGAGAAAAAAATCATAAGATTTTGGAAGATATATTTTTAAGGTATTGTTTCAGAATTCTAAATTACAGTAGCTGTAGTTGACTGACAGGGTATACATTCCAAGATAATATCTAATTTGAAGTACAGTATTGACAAATTTGAATTGATTGTCTTACTTTTTTTATGAATATTGTAGATTAAACAGGCTGATATAATGTTAATCTGCAGCACTGTTACTGTTTTCAAAATTGTCCTATCTCATATTTTTATATTTACAGAACCAGCCTCGATACACCGGCTCCTGCTGCCAAGGTAGCAATCAGTGCCCCTGCAGCAGATAATGACGAAGACGCTATTAAGAAAAAACGCGCCGAGAGATTTGGTGCTCAATAAAGACTTGTGCATGTACAGTATATTTGACAAAGCTTATGGATAGACATTTTATGGATAATGTAAAATACCAAAAATTTTGGGCTTTAGTTTACAGCTACAGAAGTAAATATTGCCGTGCATGTAAAGTGCTGTTGTGTCACAATATCTTTCATTGTAATGCATCAGAAGAGCATTAATGTAAGGTTTCTTAATGTATATACAGTATTTGTGTAAAGATTGAAATTTTCATGCTATTCTGTATTGTCATTCATAAAAGACATCAGATATTTGTAGTACAAAGGGGCACTTCATTCAGAATGAATGAATTCATTTTTTTTTTAGTCTATTCCAGTGTGAAATTACTTCTTGTATTTTAAGGACTCGAAATAAGCACTTTCATACCCACTTTTTTTTTATTGCATAGCAAGTTCAAGTTATTACAATACTTTTGAAGAAATGTGTGTCCATGGATCATTGAGATAAAATAATGTAACCTGTGGCTTTCTTTGTTCCTTAAGTAGCTACTATAATGTGATGTAGAGAAAGCTATTACTTTGGTTTAATTACTTACTGGAACTTGATAGAATTATCAAAATATAATTTTAATCTTAATAAAAATCATAGCAAATTGTTTATAATGATTGTTTAACCACCTTTTTATACTATATATATATTTGTTTCATATCTTTGCCTTTTTATATTTCAGTAATAGAAATAAAATATTCTGTCAGATTGGTTGTTTGTACTGTATCCCTCAACTGCGCACGATGACGAGTGTCGCTTTATCGGTGGTGCGTACAGCAACCAGGGACAATTTAGTCTAGCATAAGATTTAAAACTCCCTAAGGTATACTGGGCTCATTCTCTTCCTCAGGTCTCCAGTAAGCAGATGTCATCTTGGAAAAAATCCTGGGCAGGTGTGAGGGCCTCAGTACCGACACAGCGCTCACGGGTAGTGATCCAAGGCAGGTGTGAGGGCCTCGGTACCGACACAGCAACCATGGGTAGTGATCCTGGGCAGGTGTGAGGGCCTCAGTACCGACACAGCACTCATGGGTAGTAATCCAAGGCAGGTGTGAGGGCCTCGGTACCGACACAGCAACCATGGGTAGTGATCCAAGGCAGGTGTGAGGGCCTCGGTACCGACACAGCACTCACGGGTAGTGATCCAAGGCAGGTGTGAGGGCCTCGGTACCAACACAGCAACCATGGGTAGTGATCCTGGATAGGTGTGAGGGCCTCGGTACCAACACAGCAACCATGGGTAGCGATCCTGGGCTGGTGTGAGGGCCTCAGTACTGACACAGCAACCATGGGTAGCGATCCTGCTGACAATATTCCTAAAGTGGAAGTCACAGCACTCAGTCGGGGTCTTGCCTCTGCACAATATACAGTGGGACCTCGTGTTCGTTTAGAGAATGAGATATATTCAGGATTTGTTGATCATAATGGTGACCAGCGAGTGTGAATCAGTGACATTGCGATATTTCCTCACCAAAACAGCCCAAGAATCGTACAATTTTTTTCTTTCTTTTAGTTTCCTGGGTTTGGGGAACATACTGTATTTTAACTATTTAAAAGTTTTTTTTTTGTGCACTCGTGCAACTCTTAAGGCAGAGTTGTCATATGACACAGCTGCACAGTGCAGGGGTTAACCTTTTGTTAATTTTTGGTTTTTAAGTGTGTTTAAAGAGTGTTAGTGATATTTGAGAACTTTTGGAACACTGTACAGTATTGTGAATTTAACAGGAACCTTAAAATGCTGGATGGAATTTGATACTGGAAATTTTGTACGAAATTCACAAGACCTGGAGAGCGTGCAGAGATCCTTTACTGCTAGAATCCACTCAGTAAAACATCTAAACTACTGGGACCAACTAAAGAGCCTAAATCTGTATTCCCTTGAGCGCAGGCGGGAGAGATACATAATAATTTACACGTGGAAAATAGTAGAGGGGCTGGTCCCAAACCTGCACAAAGAAATAACACCACATGAGACCAGAAGGCATGGCAGGATGTGCAGAATACCCCCGTTGAAGAGCAGAGGTGCAACAGATACTCTGAGAGAGAACTCTATCAACATCAGAGGCCCGAAACTGTTCGACACGCTTCCACTACACATATGGGACATAACTGGCTGACCCCTCACAATAGTGTTCAAGAGAGAACTATCAACATCAGAGGCCCGAGACTGTTCAACACGCTTCCACTACACATAAGGGGCATAACTGGCAGACCCTTCACAATAGTGTTCAAGAGAGAACTGGATAAGCACCTCCAAAGGATACCTGATCTACCAAGCTGTGATTCGTACATCAGGCTGTGAGCAGCCGCATCCAACAGCCTGGTTGACCAGTTCAGCAACCAGGAGGCCTGGTCGACGACCGGGCTGCAGGGACGCTAAGCCTCGGAAGATCCTCACGGTAACCTCAAGGTAACTTAGGGACCCAAATGTTACTAAATTTCCAATATGAGTGGAAATTATAAATGACTGGATCGTTACATCATTTTGATAGTTCGATGTCACTCTACATCGTAAGATCCAAAGTTATCTTAAATGTTTTTTACTAACCATCATTTTTGCATGACATTGATGGAATAAACAAGTGAGTGGAACTTACACCATGAAAGACTTTAAACAAATTAGGTATCCCTTCTAAATTTTATTGAATACACTTTGCTCAAGTAATTTTTCCTTTTATGTACAGTAATATAGATCAGTTATTTGCACATTCACATTAAAAAAATATAAGCAACTTTTATTGTGATGCCTTGGTCATGAGACTGACTATCAGTAACTTAACAATATCATTGATCAAATGATATTGCTTCACAAACAAAAAATGAACACAGGAACTGATGTGATAATCCCATGAAGGGGTTTGTTTAGAATCTCAGTTTTCTCAGCAAATGCCATCACATTCCACTACTGTGTGTGTGCTACGTAGTCTTCCTGGCTTGCTGCTACCTTTTGATAATTACTTTCTTCTACTGTTTCTCATTACCGCTCGAACTTAACGAGATTCAATGCCATAATATCTTGATAGAAGTTACCTTTAAACAGAATTAAATGCATGTTGGTAAACAATGGTGGATTCCATTCTAGCCATATAGCCTCTGATAATTTCCACTTGGCAGTGTATTACAGTATGATATATCTACTTTGTTTTCTTGCACTGCTGCTTTAATGAGACATGGGGGCTTCGGTACACAATATAAACAATCAATAATATTTTTATTCCCCGAGAAGCCTTCAATGCAGCAACCAACCTACATTATTTTGTTATGACGATTCCTTTATGCTGCAAATAATTCATTCCACACTGTCCTAAGGTGGTCTATTTAATAAACAATTGATGGATCTCCTGTCATAATATTATCCACTTACCAAATTACTCTCTTATTTCAGTGCCTCAATTATAGCAGATCATAAATTGTTTACATTTTCTGGGAGGGGGAAAGGGAGGATGGAAAAATGGAGATGGTTCTCTGACCATCCAAGTGGTTGGACAACATTCCTTTCCCCTGTCCCATCCCAAATCCTTATCCTGACCCCTTACAAGTGCTATCTAATCGTAATGGCTTGGCGCTTTCCCCAGATTATTCTCTCCCATTTACCGGGTTGCATCATCGATGGAGTTCTTTAGGCATACCAGGGACCAGCACCAGAATCTGGTCTCCTCACAGAGATGAAGGGAGCGGTGACATTGTGTCATCTCACCAGGGAAGGCAACCAGTCCTCAGATCACTGCTGGGTTCAATAGAGACTGAAGCCATGAAACCATCCTCATGAACTCTCCCTAACTATGTAAACAAATGATCGAATTCTTTCGAAACTAGGGTGCACTGACTCCCCTTCAGGGCGCCATGGTCTTCCTTCGCAGCCGCATAACCCAGGCTGTGTTGGCTTTTAGGTCTTGCATAGCATCCCCAGTGGCTGGGTGTCATGCTTGGTTTACCCTTCAGGCCCAGGAAATTCCCTGAGGGTTCAGTGGTCCTCTGGATATTGCCCCCTGAACCTTCTGAGTTTGAGGGTTGCTCATCATACGTGCCACGTGGCAGCAATTGTTTGTTTTGTCTCCGTTGTGCTGCCTGTTGGTTCAGTGACACCTTTGACTCTTAGTCCTGTCGGATTTGCTCTTTCAATATGGCTCTCCTTTCGGGCTCTCCTGATGAGGTTGAGCGCACTAGGCAGCCTCCACTTTGTGAGTTTGGTCTGCTCGGTTACAGCAGTCAGAGTTCAGTACTCAGTTAAATGCCCCAAAGCTGCCCCATCTGGTGTTTTAGGAACCCGGACTTGTGAGGTGAATTCCACTTTGGTTCTGTCTGAACCTCCTCTTTTGGTCATAATTCGCCTTTCCTCTATCCTGCCCGTGTTTCTGGTCCCGAGGGAAACCTAAGGGTTTCCGGGTTGGGACTGGGTTTAGCTCTGGATGTGGCTCGGCCAGTTCTGAATCTGGTGCAGAAGCAGTTGAGCTGGCTAGTCCCACTGAGGCCTCAGGGTATTCCTTTCAGCCGGTCCCAACCCCATCTTTTGAAGCTTCTCCCATGGGCTCCGCTTTTCTATCTGGGGCAGGGGGTCTTCAAGTTCGGCTTCGGGGACTTGCAGGGAGTCTGATATTGGCCCGTGTATGCCTTGTGCGACTCCAAGTGGTTCCTTGTTCCCCTCTGAGGAGGGTCTTCTTTTCCCGGGGGCGGGGTTTTCAAATTCTACCTCCCTGTATGCATTTGATTAAGGGGCAGCTTCCCCAGAGTTTGGTTCCATGTGCCTTTTGGCCCATCGGAATCATCCTTCCAGAGGGTTCCTTCCTCTCGGGTTCAGCAGTTCCGAAGGCTCTCTTTACATACCTCTTGTGAGATCCAGACTGTGCGTCTTTGGTGGACCCTTCCCCTTTTGAGTTTTGAGGTTCCTGAGTCTTCCTGGCTGGTGGACATCACTTTGTTTTTGTTTGGAGCTTCGCTCAGCTTTTGTTGTATCCGCAGGCTTGGGTGGCGTGTGGTGTCGACCGAATTATGGATGTTCCTGGGGCCTCCCTTTTGTGCCCCTCATGGCTGCCTGCTTGCTCTGCTGGTTCTCTGAATGTGTGGTGTTACAGTCTCCCCAGCTTGGTGCCTTTTTGTGATAATTACTTCTCTGGATGTGGGTCTCGTGCATGCCCAGGTGTCTTTGTTGGCCACCTGCCTCGAGTGTCGGCAGGAGGTATTGGCCAAGTCTTGGGTTTCTTCATGGGCCCTGACTCTCTCTCTGTCTGCCTTCCCCTTGTCTCCTCTCCTCTTTCCTTGGGGTGCGGGGGGGGGGGGATAGTTACAGTTTCTCTTTGATGTTTCCACTTGTAGGTCCATTTTTAGGCATCCTTTGTTCTCAGTGGCCTCACTACCAGAGCTTCAGATATTAACACTAAGTAAAGCGTCCAGCACTTCAACAAAGACGATAACATCATTTTTATTTGCCAACATCCAGGGTATAAAGACACGCAAGTTCATTTTATAGCTGGCCTCCTACATGAGGCAAATGCAGTGTTTGCAGCCATAATGGAAACTCTCACAAAGGACTACTATGATGGTGAAATATGGATTTTAGAATACAATCTTTTCAGATGTGAAAAAGGTTTCAGATGACGGCGGGGGTTTTATTCTTCTGGCCCCGGTGGGCGGTTTGTTCGTTTGTAGCTGGCTTCTTTTCTGACGAAGAATGAGTCAGTTGGGTTCCAGAGGGGTCCTTTAGTCATTGA